CATCCAGCTGCTTCGAATAGCCCTATAAACTCACTCACCGTCCAACACCACATCTAGACTGACCTCTTCCAATACAGGCCGCAGCCGTTCCGCTATGTCCAGTGGTAGCCTAAGGATGCACTGTAGGTCGTAGGGCCATGGGACCTGCATGAGGCATCCCTCACCCACTACCAGGGTAGACCCTACCTGATGAGGCGTTGGAGGTTTAAGGACCATGCCATTAGGGGGCAAAGCTTGGCCAGCTCCTAGGTGGTCACTTCCGGGTGGCGTAACTCCTCCAACACTAAGAGGCAACGGCTACTACCCATTCAGGATGCCGATCACATATAAGGCAACATGAACCAACAGCCCCTGCAGCTACTACTGTATCGAAAAATGCGAAGATGAGCCTAAACCAGCTGCTCTCGAGCCACCGAAATCTCCTTGAGAGCTCTGCGCTCCACGAATCCGTAAAGTCATCAGAAATTATATACTGCAATAACATGCCCCAGCCTAGCCTCGACCGATTACGATAACAACACAACAGGAAAGGCCTCGCTAGGAGGAACAAAGTGGATATACTTTCATACCGCATTTTTATAACTTTATACTCTCATCAGAGCAGAGGAACCGCCGCCTCCCTCAAGCATGACGCTATCACTGGTAAGCTGGTGTTGCTCCTCTCCCTGCTCTCTAGGATAGAGGTTCTTCAACTCCCCACCTGGCTGGGCAGCAGGGAGGAGAACCTCCGTGTTGTTGTTGTTGTTGCCGACATTGATGGTAGACAGAAGCTCAGACGAGGAGAAGTCGAAATTATCTACAGTAACCAAAGGGATATAGGACGATGGAGGTCTTGACAAGGAGGAGGAGGAGTCATTCTTATTAACTCCATAAAGAAAGTCATCAGGCAGGACTATCGTCTCATCGGGCTCACTAGTCAAGGCCGGACTAGTCCCACTACAGCAGCTAGAGTCAGTAGTGGAAGCACTAGTACAGGTAGTGGCATCCTTCTCAACACTACTACAAGGAGGATGAGGAGGAGCAGGGGAGGAAAAAAGACCCTCCTCCACCTCCACCTCCTCAGCAGAAGCAGTAGCAGCAGTATCAGCCTCCTGACGAGCCCCATGGGATAGTATATCAGCAAACAAACGTTCAATCAAAGTCAAACCACAGCTTTCGGCCTCAGATGTCCGATTGTAAGGGGAGGCCAAGGCGGCCATAGGAGATGCCCTCTTAGTCGGCTTGCCAGCCTTTCGTGCCAAATAAGCTCGGGAGATCTTCCTAGCCTCATCCAAAGTGTTGGTGACAATACACATCTCCACCAGGGCCGCGTTACTCGCGCTTTTCAATTTCCCTATGGACCGAACCACTGGTCTCAACTCTGGGTGCTTCCGTACCTCCTGAAAGCACAAGGTCTATCATCCTCACCTGCTCCTAACACTTACTTGTCCGATCATTCGCCTCACTCTCATACGACCATTTTCCCCCAATGGGAGCTTTGTCAGAGACGACGCCAATTTCCTTATACCCGCGTCACTGCGTATATCAGGCCCCAACACGGCGGTCGTACCAGCGGCAGACGTTATACTATCCCTCTGTGCTACAGGGTGAGGACCGTCGACATCGGTAGTCTGCGTGCTGGCAGTCACCCTTGCTTTCACTGCTGCTTCGGCCCTCGAAGGCCTTGGGGGAGGAAAGAGGCCAATGGAGCCGGGTGGACGGGTGGGTGGTAATGAAGGGGTCGGCGACCGATCATGAACAAATCGCAACATAGCAATCGTACGACACTATGGTCGCTGGTAATAGCAAGCCTAGCGAGGGACGAGGTCATACCACCTCAAATACTCATACCACAACACCGCCTCATCGTAAGAAACATAACTACCACCAATCGAAACACAACAGGAACATCTACTTCCCCGTAGCCTTCTCGACGAGCTCTCGTGCCAGAGCTCCTGCTGCTGAGGACGATGCCACTAGGATCAACTCCGCGTGTGAGGCTGTTTCCCGACCTAACGATAACACCACAGTGACGGTCATCATAACGGCCTACCCTTACAGTGTGCAAAGACCATCTCCCCTGAGGGTGTGCTTGCAGCAAAGACCCGCTCATCCCCGATCACCTCCACCAGGTGGAAGCCGACAATTCCAGTCAACTTGCTGGACACGTCCGGAACCTAGCATCGCAAATAATATCAACAGCGGAGCGAAGCAGCAACATTCCTTACATGGGATAGAGAGATCTGTATCTCGCAGGACCCCTGCAGCTTTTGCCAGTCCCCACCAAGCTGCTCGATGGTAATGTCCAGAGGCCTCAACTTCACTTCGGTAGCCTCATGCGACACGGGAGAGGGCGCGAACAAGTCCAACTGACGGACCAAGGGGATTCCTCAAGCACAAGAAGCTTTTATAATAATACCTGCCCAACACCCTGTCCCACCGGGGCCTCCGGAACAGACGGCGATGAGGCCATGCCACCCAACAGGTCATCCTCACTAGAAGACAATATATCCAAGGGTGAGGCAGTGGGCACTGGTGCCGCAGCTGAGGGCAAGGCCAAGTTCTCCTCTCACAGCCGACCCTCCATAGGACTACTACCTTCAGCTGTAGCTTGCTGTGCCTCTTGATGATCAGTAGGAGTCCCAAAAAGGTCCAACAGATCAACTGCTTCAGCACCACCCTGCGGCCCTGCACCTCCCTCCTTAGACCGTGAATATCCTGGCTGCCCCACCCTGAGGACCTCACCATCACACGCACAGCTAAGATTCCTCCCAAGCCTACACTGATCTCGAGCCAGCCATGGGTTGTCGTGGAGCAGGGCTACTACCAATACCAGCAAACAAGGCGCCCGCCATCTTCTCTTGTGCGGCTCTACGACGTAACTCATCCGTACTGGGATAGGCGGAAGCCACGGAAGGCCGTGCCCTCGTACTTGGCTCGGGAGCTAATACCACGGACACAATCAGTCACCAGCAATGCCAGACTATCACCTACAGCTCACTGTGGCAGTAGCCTTTGCTGTCGGGACGACCTCCTCCGAAGTGGCGGAGGGTTTTCGAGCGTTGAAGCCGCTGGGACCCCACTTCTTTGGAGCGTTCACTCTAAGACCACCTGCTGCTTGGGACTGGGCAGAGCCGGATTGGTAAGGGCTGGACGGGGCCTGAGGTGCGCACGCATGCACATGACTTCGATGATACCACACCAGCGTGAAACGACTCCACTTTGAAGGGCTATGCCCTCTCACCGTTGAAGAGGCTCGCCATGCCTCCGAATCCCGCCGAGGCACTGCTGCTACTGCCGTTGTTACTGTACTGCTACTAGGCTGCGATATTGCTACGTGGGACGGCTTAGTAGGCGCACTATAAGGCGTGAAGTTGAGACCAGAGGGCCCCCAGTGGCGCTCTTCGTACGAACAAGACGACGGCGATTGACCAGCATACTCTACGACATTAGGCCGACCGTATCTGTAAGTAGGCAGATCAGCCCATCTCCGAGACACCATCCTCTTACTCCTTCATGCCCTCCGCTATTGCCCTATCCACCATGTCATCAAGGAAGGATAGGGATACGTCGATGAGAGAGTCTGATCGCTCATAGTTGGCCTCATCATACGGGAAGGCCGACGGTAGCAGGTTAGGTGAGCCATCCAGGATCTTGAGGTATCTACCCTGGAGTATACGGGAGAACATAAAGTCCAATAACACTACTCGAGGCTCCTCTGATACATGTCCGGGTCAGTACTGTATTTGCGGAGGGCTCGTCGGACCTAGGGATGGTTAAGTGAGGCTACTGGACAAGAGAGAGCCCTACAGTGTCAACGGAAGGCGTAGCAGTAGTCTGCTGTTGCTCCTGACTTAGTAACTTCATCATCGATGAAAATAGATACCCTCGAGTTACTCTAGCCTACCACAACACCGACTATACACGAATCGGCATCTGACCGAGGACCGACCTCAGTAAATGCTGGACGATCCACTGCTTGAGCCAGAAGGTCTATTATGTCATCAATGGTATACCCACTGAGTGTGCACATACACCCGTACTCGCCTAGCACCTACATGGATGTTATCTCATAACGAAGGCCGCTAGGCCCCTTAGACTACCCAAGCCACGACTCTAACAAGAACATCAGGCAAGTCATCCGAGCTGGCAGCCAACATCTTCACATAGGTGTTCACAGCCCACCTAAAGAGAAGCACCATCACCATTCATACCCAGGGAGGCACTCGGTGGCCTACACTCGGAACTCAGGATCCTCCTCGCCGCTCTCCGCCACCAAACGCATGAGGGAGGTGGGTAGTGATGACGGCACCAGAGACGGGGCTAGAGTGAAGACCTGGTTCATGGTCTCAACGTACCACTGATTAGATGGCGAATACCGCTCTGCTAAGGACCCCACTTTACGGACCTGACCGAATACGATAGGTACACTAATAAAAGAAGAATGAGACCGAGTAGAAGACCTTTCTACTGGGACTAACCTCATCAGAGGCATTAGACAGGTACTTACCAGATCCCTGCGGAGGTGGACGTCATGGGACGAACGAAGATTCTGTAGCATCTTAGCACATACCACAATGACGTTAGCAGGGTTGGTCATGCGGTAGAGGAGGTCCAGTGTACCTAAATAAGGCTCCATCATCTACTCGTGTATAGAACCCTCATGGATATAGAAACTATGCCTCGATACACTGCCAAAACCAGCCGAGCGGGACACCAGCAAGATTCTTACGTCTCTTTAGGGTTTCATCAGGATCTTCTAGACACTCCACAACCTTCAGCTGATGCTCTCTAGCGTAATCAGGGTTCACTGTGATCTGACGACCAGGACTACAAGACCACTACTTCATAGCATATCCTGTACTACAATCATTGCAAGTCCTGTCACTCCTAGATACTTAAGATTGTGACTGTCGCTCTGGAGGAACTTGGAGATTGACGCAGCACTTTGTTCGAGGAGGGTATGGCTAGGGTAGAGCTTAGCAGCACACTTAACACACTCATAGACAACACTGTAGCCCGCATTGACGCCGGTGTCAGCACGCCGCATAGTCTCCTGGACTATATCGTACACTTGGGCGCTCACATCTGAGAGGGAACCGCCAAGGATTGAATGAGTTTAAATGCCTCAACTAGGAATTGAACCGGAGCGATCAGATAGCACGTCAAGAACACTAACCACTGAGTCAAATCTCCTAACAATCAACAAAACTAACCACGACAGTCCACTGTCTCGAGACTAACAACCGCGATACGATAAGCACCTCATCCACGCTAAATAGTCCCCTTCGCCACCCTGTCACTCGCCCAGCACCAACCTTGATCTCCTTCTCCCAGCATACCCAGAAGGTTCACTAAATTCACTTGCAGCCAGGGGGCCGGCATACGATGGTAATCAAAGTCCCTCGGCAACCTATGCTCTATGATTTGCTTCAAGATGTTGACCAGAGATGGCACCTGACTCCAGAACTAGCCCTCCTTGCCTTACCAACCGTATTACCAGGTCCTTGCAGGACTCGGGATCGTAACGAATAATGTCCCTAAGGAGATTCAAGCTAGCTCCCATCACTGCCGGATCTGGATCACACAGAGCTCTACGGACATCTTGCTGGACATCATCAACCACCGAGTCTGGTGATAGTCTAAAAAAGTGCTGGATACCTGAGAGGAAGAAGAAAATATGCACATCCTCAACTACATGGGTCGATGACAATATGAAAATTCTGGGAGCAAATTTTCCGAATTTCGACTTGTTTCTGTGGACTTCTATCCAGAGTTGTGTGTGTGAGCTTCTACTATCGGTGAAGAGCAGCCTAGTAAACATATTCTGTCTCTAGGCGAGCACCCACTGCAGCATACTTACATATAATGGCCTTCTTCCTCACTGCATCCTGAGTATGTGTCAATAACTTGGTGACCAAAGGCAGGATAGCCGGGATCATCTCTGCATTGACCAGCTGTGTGATCGCCGACAGGGCGGCACAGGTCTCTAGGAAGTTGGAACCTTATAAGGAGGATGTGAAGCATAGAGTGTTGTAGGGTAGACTACTGCCCAAGTCCCGCTGCATGGTGTTGACCAGCAGTAACATAAGTTCATCATCACCATTTAGGAACAAGGAGGAGGCCATATACCCCACCTTCTTGCTGTATACGTTCTAAGCAGTAGACTTCAAGTGAATCTATGGTGTACTTTCCCACCTTATCTTGAGCCAGTTTGACCGCATGGATGTAGGCAAAGGAAGCGTCATGACCGAGCATCTCCACATAAACAGCCCGGATCATATACCTAATGACATCTAGACTATCTAGCTGGAGAATGAGGTACCCCTGAGGTTACTCTTTCATCTTCTTAGAGGAGATATTGGGCTCTAGCAGTTTCCGTTTGAGCACCTGTACTTCGCCCTGTATGATTTTATCCTCCTCTTGCTTCGACCTAAGCCACCCCTACCCCTAACGACAAGCCCTGCATGAAGCTAGTCAGTACTTGCTCTCCCCGATAGCCCTTATAAGCTGGAAGAAGTCCTTCGATAGATGTCCTCCCGACATGATTAGGTAGAGGAGGTTAACCTCCCTACAATGCAAGCTACTACGAGGACTAAGATACGCACTGAAATCTAGCTTCGTAAAATCATCTAAAAAGCGCTCACATACGCCTAAAATTCCAATCCTGAGTGAACTGGTCACATCTTCCTCGAAAAAATGTTACAGGAGGCCATGTAGAATATGTTAGCACCAGTCTGCTATGGGGAGTAAGAATGTTTATCCCCAGCTACTGATCCTTAGCGTTGAGGAAATGCAAGATTCTCAAGATAAACAAGATTTGACTCTCTACTAGTGTCTGTTGATTACTATTCGGTTCATGTTAGCGTTACTGTTGGTTTTTACTATGCTGAACGATAGCGCTTATCTTCCCTCCTGGGTAGCTCTCATATGCATTTTGGGTGCGGCCTTGATGTGGTAGTAGCCGGCAGGGGAGGAAACATTTTCACAGTTTTTCGCGTTTTACGTTCCTATGGGTTTCTTCCAGTAAGTATTTCCTCTTCCACTGATCGGTCGCAAGTAGGGCCTGGGGTCATGCCCTTCTATGCAGGTATCTTACTCGGGAGCAAAGTCCTGCTCCTAGTCCCGAGCCGTATAAAGACTCTAAAGGCCGTCTAGTCTTCTCCTTTGCCGCATTACAGCGCTTTGATGGTCGTAATAATGCTGACAAGAAAATGTACATGGGCCTTAAGGGAAAGGTCTATGATGTCACTAAAAGCCGTATGCTTGGGGTGCCTGGCGAGCACTACGCTAAGATATGGGCTGGCAAGGTACGTGGTTACTCGAGGGGAAGCTATTTGACGATTTTTCTATCAGGACTGCACCGTGTCTATGTGCCTGCTCTCGCTGAAGCCTGAAGATGCCAACCGAACAGATTGGGATGAAGTCCAGAAGGAGAAGCCTCAGTATAGGAAGGCCCTTCTCTCGTGGGTGAAGCATTTCCACGACAAGTACCGTCTTGGGTCTCTCCCCCCGTGCTCTAGTGATTGCTCTCATCTAGATACCCTGTAGTTGGGTATGTTGAGGAATACATAAAGGACGGTCGGGATCTCGAGGCTGAGGTAAGCCGCTGGTTACAGGTAGTGGTATATTTACATTTGTGAGTATAACTAGTAGTATCTATTTCTATATTATAGTGCATATTGGGGTTTCATCCTAGTGATATGAAAAACACTAGTGAAAAATATATTTCACGACTACTGCATATCACCGCGAATATCGCCTTTTCCACCGAGTTTTACGCCACTTCACGTAAAGCGGGTCGTGAAACTCCAACATATCGCCATGTTCATATTGTACCGGTGTGGGAAGATATGCACGTAGTCAACTACATGTGTAGGTGGCATTTGCGGAAATTTTGAGGATGAAAATTGAGGAATTCCCATTGGCTTCTGTACGCTTGTACACGAATTTGTATGTAAACTTCTATAGTTAGTGAGGAAACTTCTGGACTCAGCTGAGGAATACGATCATTTACTCCAACACTGTTTTGTACATATTGGGAGTAGTGCATACATCTCTCATTGCAGGATAAGCAGGACTTTATCGAGATAGAGGTGATAGAGAAGGCCAAGGCGGCTGAGAAGGCGGCAATCCTTGAGAAAAAGAAGAAGGAAGCTGCTGCTGCTGCTAAAAAAGCAGAGGCCCAATAAGCTCTTAAGCTTTGTTTCATTACACTGTCTAGAGTAGTGGCCTGTAGTTCCTAGTGCACTCAATGACGGTCTCTTCTAGCTTGCCTCGTTATGAGTAACTCTTCGTCAGCATCCGTCCGAAGACCATCGATCAGCTATGAGGTGGAGGCTAGTAGTGGCATGCTGGTTAATGAACGGCGAGAGTGTCGAGATATGGCAGGGCAGTTGCTGAGGGCATGTGGGGCGGCTGGTAGGGTTACTCATCGAGAGCTTAGGTAGTAGTACTAGTCATCTATGGGGTAGGGTCTAGTGATGTTGGTGCTTTTCAGGAAGTTCGATACGTGTTGGAGTCGCACTGTAGAGGTGGAGATATCGGGTGGAGTTCGAGCTAATGTTATGTTACGGCTACTAGGGGTGAAGGACACCCCCACTAAGACAGTTAAGGGGGGGTTAGGAACCTCATTAACGGTAGCTTGCAGATCCTGTTTGCTATCGGGCACAACACCAGAGCGGGGGGCGGCCAGTCAGAGTGGAGCTGGGTAGGTGTAAAAGGTAATGAGGGGATGATGGTGGTGTCGTTAGGCAGCATGGTGGAAGGTGGCTGTGGCCTTGTATGATCTTGTTGGTTACAATGCACTAGGCTTTGAACTGGACTGGGCATGCAGTAGAGAAGGGGATCCGATACTCCTCAAAGGTAGGAGCTGGAAGCCTTGGAAGCATGAAGTATATTGCTATCATCCCTCAGACCTGACCTATGGACAGCGAACAGAGGTTTTCATACGAGCTATGGAGGAGAGCAAGGTCAAGGCTTGGTCGCTGATAGTGATGGCTTGGGGAGGGGCATGCGAGGTAGTGGTAGTTGGGGTAGGTTGATACTCATCCCTTTTCGAGATATTCTTCCATCTTGCTACTATGCGGCCTAAGCTTCTGGGTGAGATCTATTCTGAGGTCCGTGAGCCTCATCCTTGCACGCAGGCACATACCATGTTATGGTAGACCCAGTGATAGAAGGGGCGTTGCCTCCTGTGAAGACACTACTGAATAGAATCGGGCATATGAGGGTCATGGTCCTCCAGACCTTCCCTTACTGTAAGGCTGCCATTTCTAGGGTCCTCGTATGCCTCCCCATCAGCGAATCTGAGGATTGTCGAGGGTATTGACGATGGGATAGGGGTGCATGCGGCTCGGGAGATCCTTAGTGCTATGAGCAAGGTAGGGTATGAGTTGTAGTAGAGGCGGCTTGTGGTGTCGAGTTTCACCGTCAAGGTTGGCATATGTGAGGAGCTGGAGGAGTGGTATGCTTTTGAAGAAGACGAAGTGGCCCTTCCTGAGGCGACTGAGAGTGGGAGAGGAGCCCTTATCGAGCTTCCGAGATATGCAGTGTGTGCTGTGGCTAAGTAGGGTCTACCCTGGAGTTAATTACGAGGGTTTTGCAGGTTCCTACTTGGACAGGGGGAGGGCACTCTCCCCGCTATGGGAGGACCTGTGGACCAAGAGAGGCTTGTTTGTTGGGGTGATGATAAGCTGAAGGAAGTTGGCTCCACTGGGAGGTTCTTTATCATCTACGAGTTCTCAGTTTAGACTCTCGGGAGTTCATCACTGGGAGGTCCCCGTCTGGTAAAGGCTTCTAGTTCGGGGAGTCGGAGGCGACCTAGGCCTCCTCTGAGGGTGTCAGCTCCGCTCCGCTGAGGTTTGAAACAAGTTTTGCATTTTCAGCATTGTAGTAGCGCTGAGCTCCGAGAGGATCTCTTCCGTAACCAGCCTGAGTCAGAGTTTGCCCGTAAAATCAGAGAAATGGAGGAGGAAGATTCTCGGGAGGCCCTGAATGTAATCCAGACTGTGATGGAGCCTTCAACTTGGCATGTCCTGTTAGCTGGGGAGAGGTGAGGCGACTGGGGACGATGCTGATGAAGGCAGTAGAGGTGAATCCATGGGGGACTCAAGTGAACCTCAGGATATTTATGCAGTTAGTTGGTAGTAACCTCCCTAGTCTCAGGTCCGGACGGAAAGGTGGAAAAGGCGTGTCGGTTCGTTAATGAGATGTACGGCATTCGTTGCAGCTTCCCTAGAGAGGGCAGGTCGCGGTTTTGCTCCATTCACCAGTAAGGGCGGTTCTTGATGATGTATTGAGCTGGTCCGTAGGGGGGCTGGCAAGAAGGCCCCAAGGGGCTGTGCTTATTGGATTCTCAGACGGCAGGGCTACTGCCCCCTCCCTAAGGTGACTGATGTCCCTATCATGTCAACGGGGTGTTTGTTAGGAACATGGTAGTCAGTTCTGCCCGGTGCATAGGCCGGGGTCGGCTCCTGAGCGGAGCGATGGTCGGAGATGGACCCTTGGGGTATCTACTGACAAGGTCAGCTGCTGTGACGATGAGCTCCCATTGGTTTTCATCATAGCATGCAGAGTAGAGGAGGTGAACAAACCAGGTCTCGGGCTAGGAGAAGTAGTCTTCCTATGGGCGCGGAGGAGGTAGGTTACTTTTAACTTGTTCATTAACAGCAAGACGGTTTAGGTGCATTCGGTCGTCGATCCACGTTTAGCTCGCCTCGAGGGATGAAGACTTCGAGGGACTTGTGATGGTGTGTTTGGCCTGTAGGAGTAAGGTGGCTAGCATGGACACGTGATGATAACAATGGGTATCTTCGTTGACGTGATTCAGATGGTTGAGTTGGATGGGGGATAGGTTGTTCATGAAGAGTCCCAGGTTCAATCCTTGGGAGGGGCATTTTGTTATTATTCCTGTTAGTCCCTGTAAATTTTGTGAGCCTTTTATCGAACCCGGACTGCCGAGATGGATATTGCTGCGGTCTGTAAGAACGGCGTCGAGATATACCGCTTTGACCTCCTCAACAAGTCGTTGAGGAAACTCATAACACTACAGGGATCCCACGTTACCAACGCGGAAGGCTTCCATTGGAACGCAGATGGTATTGCTGGCGACTGCCATTCGTGTGGTTGTAGGTTCGATTCCCACGCTTGTCATTTTTCCAGGCACGCTTTGTGCTTGTATGAATAACGAGAACGGTATCACCGTCTATGACGTGACCAAAGACTACAAGGAGATCGTTATGGTGGCCACGCCAAACTCCAAGAGCTTCAAGAACTTCTACTTTTCTCCTCTGTCCAATTATATGGTACTATTTGCAGCGGAGCGAAGCTTTCCCTCCTATCACAGTCGTATACCCCAGGTCACATTCGAGAGGTATGATGCTGAGCGTGAGCTACCCAATCTAGCCTTGTGGAGTGTGGCTGGTCGGTGCAAGGCTGTGGAGAGCCGCATGAAGAGGATGAATAAGCATCTATGGCCAGCAATGAAGTGGACTGATGATGAAGCCTACTGCGTGCGGATATTACCCGACGCTGATATCGTGAGATGGGGGAGGAGGAGGAGGATGTGGGGAGCTGCTGCTTTCAGTTACAAGTGTTGAACTCGAGAAAGGCATCTACCAATGAGCAGAAGATCCCGGGTATCCAACAGATTGAGCTCTCCCCTTCGGGTCCTGGTGAGTGCTATGCTCAACTTGGTGTTGTTATGATGTGGTGGTATTTCAGAGGTAGAAGGCGAGCCAAAGGTGGCGTGTGTGGTCTCTAGAGGGACGGAAAGGCGCCCAGCGGTAGGCCGCTAATACTGGAAGGGTGCGATAGAGATCTGAGCTCAGGTTCATGTGTCGGTGCTGAGTGAGCCTCAGAAATTCGTCTTGTCATACAGCTTCCCAGAGGGTGATGATATAAGCCTCTATTGGAACGCCTCAGGCAGCAAGCTCCTTGGCCTCCTCAGTTTGGACGTAGACGAATCTGGGAAGAGCACGTGAGCAGCAGCATGCTGAGGGTTACTCGGTGCTCCAGTTGCGTTTTCAGCTACTATGGCACTAACATGCTTTACCTCTTTGATTTGGTATCTAATGTAGTGTCGAGGGTCGCTTGCAACTCCCCTATACATGATATCGGATGGTGTCCAGGGAATGCTCGGAAGGATAGAATCGGGAGTAGTAATAGTTGTGGTATGGAGGTGCTGTGGTCCAAGGCGTGTGTTAGGTTCATGTGGTGACGATCCCGAGGAAGAGCTCATCCTCATTTCGGGCCGGATCCCACCTGAGACGACTCTTTTCAGCACTAGCAGTATCAAGAGCAATGCTTCTGAGGCGTCGTCGAGTGGTACAGAGGATGGGTCGGCTAGTATACGGAAGCTCAATGTTGTACATAGCATGGGTAAAGCGAAGCGGAACACAGTAAGAAGGGATGGTATCAAAGTTGCTGATCGAGTGGTATGTTAGGTGTGTTGGAATCGATATGGCCGGTACGCTGTAGTAGGCGGCTTCGGTAACATGGCAGGGGAGATGGACTTCTGGGATATGGCTGAATACAAGGTTGTAGGCAGCCTTCGAGCGGAGGTAATTCTCCTGCACTATGTTCAATTTCGATGCATCATCCTGTAGTGCCCAGTGATCAGCGTGTGGGCACCTGATGGGCGTCATTTCTCTACTGCCACGACTTGGCCGCGTATGCGTGTCGATAACAAAATCGACATCTACTCCTATACGGGTACGACTTACCACCTCATCCATCACCACTACACCCTCCCCTTCAGGCCGTTTGATCTGCCGTCATGAGTTTGATGAGCTTTACAGTGCCTCTTGGAAACCCTCTACAGCCTTCCATGTACTCCTCCTATGATTTGCTAGAGCCTTACTATGCATCTCAGGATGTACCGAGTTCGCCTCGAGCATTAGCAACTGCATTGGACGGCCCGCCAGCTCCTGTTGCTTCGAAGGCTTATCGTGCTCCGGGAAAGTGAGAGCACTCAAGTGGGAAACTGACAGCTAACTTCAATCCCGTAGGTCTCCTCAGCCTGATTCCCACGATGGTAGCGAGACCAATGGTGGCCGCTATAGCACGAATGAGGTAGTGTGAGAGGAGCTCTGTCGGGAGCATTGTGTTGGTTGTAGGAGGTCTCCACTGAGGAAGAACGTCGTCGAGGATTGTTTAGTGCACTTCTGAGAGGCGAGGTTGATCTCGAGGATCTGTCGCCTGAAGAACGTGCTGCCTATGGTGATAGACCAGAGAGGAAGAGTGAGTCGATACGGGGGACGACACTGTGGTGTCACCAATCACCGTTCAGGTAAACACCCTAGCGTTAAAGGTGATGCTCGTCGTGAGTCTTCCCCTGAGGCGAAGAGCAGCGAGGCTCAGTCCTCCGATCATGATACTAGAAGGCGGTCACCAGTGGCTGCCGCAGCTCCTCCTGTCCCTCCTCCTGCTCCAATGGTCGCTACTCCTCCGTCCACACCCTCACCGCAACGTCCAAAACTGGCTCCAGCTCCGGAACGAGGCTGGTATTATAAGGACCTGTCGGATACCGTTCAAGGGCCATTCTCTCGAGAGGCTATGCGAAGATGGTTCGAACGTGAGTTCAAATTACGGTTGTTGTTGTCGTTATGGGGTCTGTCATCTTGTCTTTCAGAGGGGTACTTGAAGCCGGATCTGCTGCTGCGCATTGGCAAGAGCCCTAGTTTCCGCTTCCACCCACTGAGGGAGCTTTTCCCTGCACCTGCCGAGTCGCCGAACCCTCGAGCGAGTGCACCTTTCCTGGACCTGATGGTAGCCCCTTCTGATTGGGTTACACAGATGGTGCAGATGATCGCACAGAAGCATGAGCAGCAACAGCAACAGCGGCAACAGCAGGAAAAAAGAGAATGAGCTGACTGTTCATCATGACTGCTATTAGCATTATCACCGTCGCCACTCTCAATAGCTTTGAGAAGAAGCTCTGCACTGCAGCAGCCCGTTTCAATGAAATGAATGTTTCGTTTGGTGTAGTGTATTCAAGGAAGTACACGTAGGAGCATGAATGCCAATCTCCGTATCTAGATATGTACACATTCTCTTCGGCCCTTCAGCATTCGTTGGTGTATTCGTATCGTCATCTAAGACTAGCATCATTCTCACCCATGCACTGTGGATATTCACTTAAATGGGCATAGTAAAGGACTGAGGCTCTCATGTCAACAGTTGACGAGTCAAGCCCACTAAAGTGAGCATGGATAGGAGACTGGCTGCCCTCCTCTGTACATTGATCTCATTGCTGATATAAGGTGAACTATGCATTTGAAATATCTGCGAGCGTGGCCGTGGGAGATTAGGTGTACATTGCTAATATGCGATTGCTAGAACTTAGTATTCCTTCGTTACGCACCAGTATAGTAGGTTTTTCAAGGTGGATGTAAACCCTGAGGTCAGTTTTGAGAGTCCCTCGATGAAAGATCTTCGGATCACCATCTAGCTGGTCAAAGATTTTTGTTAAGATTCATCGATTATGCTGTTAAGATTCATCGGTACTACTCAGAACTCAACACTGTAGAGCAAAAACTGATAGCAATAGGTCATGAGACTACTCAATCTTTCGTCACACTTTTCAACGTTTCCACAGCAAAGTTGTGATTGGTGTGAACACATATATCTACCATAATGATCCCTACCCCACAGTAGTAGCTAAAACTCTACCTGCTGCGATCTTCATGGCTTTCTCGCATATTTCGTGGGCGGTCAATTCGGTATCAATAAGCGCTCTTGCAGCGGCTAACGCACGGTAGTAGTACACCACTGGGCGAACCATGGCTTACCCAAGGCGTATGGGCCACCAGAGCCGATAGCAAATATTCCGTCTTTGGCTTCAAGCACATCCCCATTGCCAGTGACCTCTAATGTGATGTTCTCATCAGCCACAAGGATCACAGCCTGACGACGGTCGCACTACTGGTGGTAACGGACACAGTCCTTACCTGCAGATGCCTTAATATTTTATCAGTTCTCCACATCTTGGCAAGCTCCACACAACTCCTCAAAAGCTGTTGAGGATGCTCCTCTAGCTTTCCTTCCAGCTTATCCATCAACGCTAGACAGTCCGCCGTGGAACCTACATGGGATTACTTCAACCAAACGACTAACTGTATGAACTCACCAGCGAAACCAGCAATGATGTTGTCGTTGATTCGCCTCAGTTTACGAACATTGTCCTTGATAATCATATCGCCAAGGGTTACTTGTCCATCGCCCATTATAACCACATCAGGACCTGAGACCCAACAGCTCACAGGCTCCCCCAAAGACATACCAGGACATACCTTTCCTAACGGTGAGGATTGTAGTAGAGCGTGTGATAGCCGCTGAAGGAGGCACCAGGCCGCTGAGTCGAGGAGCTACTCGAGTCAAAAACATCCCAACACAAACAACTGCCGCACACGCAGTAGCAGGCGTAATGGCAAGTAGCTAGAACAAACTCATGATATCGAATATGAAACTTGTCACTACTGCTGGTGTTGTCCACTACGATATTATTTTTTGTATTCCGAATGGTAATTCGGCGCCTTACATCCCATCACTCGGAGACGGTTTATATAGGAGAACTCCGTCTGGCACGTGTTGTCTCCAACGAAAATCGCGAGGTCCTTCACACGCTAGCATAACGAAAGTAATTCACATCACTATTATCGATCGATCGGGCGAGCGCGAATTGCACTCACCGAGAATTTATGCTGCATCAAATGCATTCGTTCATCGTCTCCTCCACTAAAGTTCAACGTGAACTCCCCACCTGAGTGCATTCCATATCATTTCGAACGGACAGAGGCGTAGTGTGACGATACCCGGGCTCACGCTTCCAGATTCGATGTCGTTGAAGTCCATAGCTGGCTGATTGGCATATACCTAAACCATAGACCTACAACGTAGATCTTCGATGTGGTCGTTCCTGCTACCTTCACAGCCATAGGGGCTGAATACGCATCATCCTCATCATCTTCACCACTTTGAGGGGGATGGTCAGCTCCAATGACGATGGACTTCACATGCACTAGCTCGCGAAATGTCAACTAATAACAACAGAGGCAAATGATAACATTCGAGTTGGCCGAAATGCCTACCTTAATAAGGAGCTGTTCATCAGCATCGCTCACGACTGCTTTGTCGGTGTTCGGCGCCAAAATATCCACCAACGAACCTAGCACAAGACTAGACCCTCCAAAGAGGGAATACAACCGACCCTTACCAAAGGCCGGGTTGGCATTAAGAACCGTGGAGATCCTCATATCAAGAAGGCCAGAACCGTCGCATGACAAGTCCACCTCCTTGTGCTCCAGAGCTGACTCGCACACCTGAGAGCACATTCATGAGTATTAGCGGAGCGGAGCGGTGCGCTACTTTTTGTTTTTTGAGATTATGCTGTCTCATAACCGAAGTGTTGCTTGCTTCTGTGTTCACCTGCATGGCCTTGAAATTGATGATAAAGTAACACTGTTGTAGAGCGGCCGTAGAAGACCCCCTCTAAGAATGAACACAACGCCATAGTATGGAGGGTCGAGGCATTGATACGATGGCGGTTGGGTGGCGATGGAGCCCAATGATCGAGCCTCTATCAGGCGACGTTCGAAGAAGCCGCTTGAATGACGACTCCCCGGAGTGATGATGATCATGATGATGAAGAAATCATTTCGGGGACGATAACGACTACGAGCTACGTGCGCTCGGAAAGGTACAACAGTATACTCAGACTGGTGATGGACTTCGGGATAAAAATAGTACTAGCATCATAGCCACTTAAACCGGTGAGCTCCGTAATAGTACTAGTATAGGCAGTAGTAGCATCAACGTGGTCAGCGACTATCATCAACGAGTAGAGCAAATCTTCCATACATTCAGTTGGAGATGGTATGATCATATTCTAAGTGTGATAAGATTCTTATCATGCCTGAATGTCTCGGAAGAGTATAGCTGAGCGAAGACCAACCACGCTAGTGGCACTACAGTACATAATGTCGCGAGTAAATGATGATGAGCTTAATTCAAGAAGAAGTAATAGTCAATTAAATTCAACAAGACAGTCTAGGTCTTCTCAACTTCGTCTTCGTTCACAGGAGACGCAGCTGTGGAATGCGCAAGAGGCACTAGGCGCTGACTAGGCGACTCGATACGGGTACTGTCCACTGTAGTCGCTGTGTTATTGGTATCTGTCCTGCGTGCCATCTTAGGTGACAATGGTATTGCCATAGAGACCTGAACACATATCTAGCCCGGTACTGATAGCCGGCACTCATACCTTATTCCACACTTCTACCATACTCCTGATAACAGCATTGAATAGCATCCTCCTCTTGCCCACATGGGGCTGTGAGCTGTCACCTGTCACGCGATCACATTAGTGTTTCAATGCCATAAAACCAAAGAGCATGCATTCGTCACTATTATCATCAAGCCAACTTACTCGTCTCGAATGAGGATTGGAGTAGTTGGTGCGGCTCCGAGTCGGCCATCACATCATAGCCGTCCATGAACTCAGGAGACAATGCTTCTGACATCCGACACAACGAGATGGTCAGTCGCTCCTAAACCCAACAAGTAGTCTACACACACGGAACTGCGTATGGCTCTACCTGCGGCTGAGGTTGCAGTAGGCCTGCCAAAAGCGCTGCCAGCTCACTAGGGAGATGCTGCACTTGGCTCAAGTAATAGAACACATCTGGTCCTGCGTGCTGCAGGAAATGCCGGTACCTAGTTTCCACGACAATCAAGGTTATGTATAAGGAGTCTTAGGATGCTCACTTCTCATCATCAGCAGTAGCGCTCGCCCAGAGCGGACCCCCAAGGCACATGACCAGACCCACCACACCAACGGACCACATATCTCCGGCGAGCCAAAGACTGAGAGTAGCAGCAGTTGAGATCATCAGAAAAGCAGCAGTAGCTCTTACGAGCACCTACCTAGCCGGCCTAGTAGTCGCTAGCATTGCAGGCAGCTGATGGTACATCTCGGGGGCCCGGTATAGGGCCTTTCCAGATTTGCGCAGGGATGAACATCTTAGTTGACTCACCGTGCTGCACTGAAATAAGGCAAACACGATCCTATGCCGATACGGCAGAAACAACAACAACAAGTTTGACTAGACTGTGACCGACCTGAGCCAAATCTGTAAGGGCCGCTGATGTGACCCGACCAGTGTGCGGTGATATATGCACCAACACTTGCTCGGGTGATACGTCCAAGTGTGCTAGATGCAGTGAATGGAGCAGCTCTATAGCTGTACTCAAGCTGGCCAGGATAATACAAACTTCCTGAATCATTGCATCGCTCCGCCGTCCCTACAACATATCTTCCCACTAACCTTGACATTCAGTCTGACCACAGCAGTCGTCGTCTCCTCCTCCTCTGCCTCTACTTCCCCACCGATCTTCATCGTCGCCTCCTTGGAAGTGTTCGAGACTGCCACTATCTCTTCTCGTGAGGCACCCTAAAGCACGACATCAGTTGCATACTTATCCACTGGCCAGAGTCCAGACAGACCTCATCAGCTCGTGGCTGGTGAGGCTGTTGAATCCTCTTATCCTCCTTCCCAGGTGTTGTGACCTCTTCAAAGAACTTCCTCAAGCCCTGCCTGTCGACCGTCAAGCGAACCTTGCTGCTATCACCACCAGGACAAGACATAGGGGACGCGGCGTCTTCGCTAACTGACTCCTCCGGAGACTCACCACAGAGCTCGCCAGACTCGTCCGGTGGAGCTGACTTTGCCACCGAGGCCCTAAGGGCACACTCCAAGCGGACTAGCACATATCGTTATCACCCAACTACCTTCGACGACTCTGACTCTGTAAGGCTCTCGCCGTCATATAGTCGAGGAGGTCGCCTCCCTCAAAGAACTCGAATAAGAAGTAGACCCGAGTACTATCATGCATGATATCGATCAAGCGATCGAAATTAGGACATCCAAAGAACCTAACAACCATCCCGACTCGCCGCCAAAACCCCTCCCCCCAAGCCCCACCGTGTGAGCAGTTTGGACAGGAACATCTCCACGAGAGTATCCTCCCGGATGCAGCGCCTCGACCGACCTTGATGCCGGCCCTCGAACCCTCCCTCATACCCTCTCTCACCATCCTCTACTATGTCTTGGAATAGAGCTTCTATGTCTATGCACTTACATACCAACAAGGCTCCCGGTGCCACAGGGATGCCTCGCCGTCCACCTGAACGCCAACTCATATGCCCAATGCGACTGGGAACCTCCTCACATTGCGTTCTCTGCACCAACCATATTCGTTTCCGCCCAGTATTTTGGGCCGATCGTCCTAGGGAGGCCACTTCTGAGCTCTGACCCTGCCCGCTGCCTCCCGACTTCAAATCCTTCACTCTGCAGAATAGCTCACCTAAACACTCACCAATTTCAATCCACCGAGGAGCCTCTCGAACTTCCATTAACTTACCAAACTCTGCATCGCTCTCGAGGCTCCGAGAGTTTCCCAAAACATATCGCCGTAACAGTCGGCGACGCTGCAGGAAGTATCGAACCGTGTCCCGGTTGACATACCTACCACGAACAGCTTCCTAGCAGTCTACCTAGAGCAGCTACTTCTCCTTAACCCTGCGGTCCCTTGGTGGATGGTTTAACACACTGGTTATGATGAAGTCCCGATCCTCTAACTCCAACCATGATAGATCCTCAAGGGTAAGACTCCGGCCAGCGAAGCGAGGCTTTGGAAGAAGACCTCTTATCCGATCACACGACGACGATGACGATGTCGAGGATGATAACGAATGAAACTGACATACGACGCTTGCCTCGGGCACCAGAAGGTTCTTAGTCGCTCTCCTATACAGCCAAATGACCTAGCAAACTCTTTTGCACTCCCTCATAAATTTGGAGTTATAATTATTTATTTTCGATACCACTCCAGTCATAACACGTAATCTAAGTCAGGGTATGACCATATCATCGTCTCATCACTACCGCTCCTCTTCTATGCACTACACCATGCTGAACCCAGATTATTCCAACACTCGAGATGGTTGTCATTGTATTCTCATTTCTCACTCACCCAGATCATCCCTACGCAGCGTCGTATTACCTGTGATCGTGGACTCCGACACTTGAAGCAGCTATCATCGACAGCACTAGAATGGGCCCGAGGCATCCTATGTAAACGACGTAGGCTGCCTGCCTCCGACGAAGACGACGACGAATTCGAGCCAATAACCATTCACAACAGAAATGACACTAACTGGCTAGGGACCTCATAAGCGGTTGAACCCAATGCTCAACAGCAACTGGATGAGGCTTCAGTATTCATCTGGTGGTGATTATTTCCGCTTGTTCCTCTTCTTGTTACTCTTATGAGGATGGGAGGTGGTGGTCGCCGCCGCCTTGGCCGAGGACGATGCTGGCGGCGCCTCCTTACCATGATGGTTCTCCTCCGCCTTCTTCACAGGATGTGTCCGCGACTTCAGTGTGGGTATGACCTCGCCCATCTTCTCTAGTAGTTGTCGCTCTGAAAACAAATGGCTTCACCATACCATTCAACACCCAAGGTAAATTCAACCTGGCAAGCTCTATCACACGTGCATATCCGGCGAGGAAGAATATTGGGGCTAAGAAGAGCGAACTATAAAGGGAGCCGTCGACCTACTTCCGGGTATCTCTGATACCAGCGGCTTGCCATTATCATCACTAAGCTTTACTCTCAGTCTACCACGTACCAACCAATCTCGGGGATAGCACTTATCCTGCGAGAAAAATACCCATACCGAGGACCGAACCCGGGTCTTACCTCTAATACGCATGGTATGTGCAGTTCTCGACAAGCCTCACCCATCTCCACAACTGTCGGGTTCTCGACACACCTAAACCTCTACCCCTATCCGAGCACTCACAGAAGCCCCCAAGCCCACTTAGCCTTCGCTATTCTCCGCCCTTCGGGCACAGTCTTGACAGCATTCAAGTAGTTGGGATAGAGGATCTGATACTTCCACAATTACCCCCCCCTCCCCGTTATTCATGTTCCGACAGCCTACATTCCACCTAGATATGTCCACTTGCTTGCCGTCCGAACCAGTCGTCAACACTTGGGTCGCCATTCAACGACAATCGAGAGAAAAACTGCATCGTCGTAGACCTAACCCCAACACTACTAGACGTGATGTTATGTACGAAAAAATGGGAATCTGGTAGCGTGGACTGCCGCAACCTCGGTAGGCCTCACTGCTGCTGCTGCTGAGGACCGCCGTCTTGCTGTGATGAAGGCTCGGCCAAGAGGAGGTCCAGTGCTCTATTGACATTGCCATTGGCTGACCATAAAGACTAAATATGGGCTTTGAGATGATACCGCCGACTCACCACGCCTAAGTGCATCCAGATTCTGCTGCCGGTTGGTGAAGCCCATGCTTTCTAATGCAGCCAGCTGTGGTCGGAACTGCACCGCTAGGTCGGCTGCCTGGACAGGGGGAGGCTGCTGCTGCTGCTGATTCATAGGAGGGCTGAATAGGCTGGATGACGGTGTAGTAGCGCTAGGATTCATCATCATAGGGAAGAGGAATGGTACTGATGGAGCGGTAGGATTAGTCTGAAACAGACCATATGAACAACAACCTGCCTCAGTGACCATAACAGCGACACTCAGAGGGGCATTACGTTTGGAGTGGTAGGTCCCGGTTGCTGCTGCTGCTGTGGCTGTGGCTGTTGAGTATTAGAGCTCATCATCTCCCTCATCATCCGGCCCATCATATCCTGCACTGCTGGATTCGACAACCAATCAGCTGTAGGATCACTGGCCTGCCCTTGAGGGGCCGCAGTAGGAGCGCCGCTACCAGCCGTACCTTCGATTGCATACCATTCCTTCTACACATCAGCCTTACTATGGGGTGTCGAGGTAGCCATGGAGAAGAAAGGGTTGAATGGTGGGCCTTGGGGCTGCTGCTGAGCTGATGCCCCTGTAGCGGACGGAGGCTGGGGCATACCAAACATAGATGCAAAGGGGTTCGCCATGGCTGGGGTTGGGTTAGTAGCACTAGACGCACCAGAGTATGTCGTCGTCGATGGATGTCCCTGAACGCCTGAGAGATATTCATCATATAGTGCATCCCTATGATCTCTGCACGATAATCCAGCCTATGTCGGATCATGCAGGATGTGATCAGCTCACGATCTCCGTATCACACAACCCGCGTACTACTACCAGAATTAGCAGGAGGTGGCGCGGTAGTAGTAGTAGTAGAGGAAGATGGAGGCCCAGCCACTCCCCAAGGGTTGCCAAGAGGCCTGTTGTTAGGACCAGCAGCATCCCTATCCTGCTGCATTGCTTGCATCAACTGTGATGCCGATGAAGTCCCAGCATGTGCATCAGCTGAGGACCAACTATCACTACTCAACATACTCCACAAGTACCTCCCGAAGCGGCATTCCACATCGGCTCCTGCACATCCCGATACATCCTCGACAAGGCTGCATACCCACCTAAAGTACACCCATACTGAGCCCACATGCACGCATGCACAAGGTTGGCTGCTGCCCTACCCGGTATGCTGTCCAGATTGGCCATCTGCCGATCGTTGTTACGCATCATCTCCTGCATCATACTCGGGTTACGAGCAGCTTGCATGGTTTGTCGTAAGAACTGGGAAACACCACATACCAAGACCTCAAACGTGCCGTCCCTGCCGACCTCCGGGTCCTCCATCAGAGTCCTCAACTCGGGGTTCTGTTGCATGAGCTGCTGCATCTGGGGATTCATCTCAATAAGACCTGAACCATACCATCATCTCGCCTAATCGCGGCTGACACTTCACAATACTAGGGCAAGCGCTATATCAGGCGGAGCGACGCAGGCATGTGGTATTACTTCTCATGATTTGGGGATTAGACATCATGCTCTCCACCAACGGGTTGTTCATCATCTCTGCTAACGCCTCAGGTGTCATCCCGCCCTGTCCCATTCCAGGCATGGAGAAGGGCGACCCGCTCTGGCCCCCTGCACCTACACCTGCACCTAGGCCAACACTATGATGCCTAGCCTCACCTAGCCTCAAGGTTGGCTGTTGTTGTTGTTGTTGTTGTACAGGAGCTGCTTGCTGGCCTGCCTTGGGATGTGCAGGAGGCACCAAGTGGCGGACCAAATGCACAGTCAACCCGTCTCCATCCAAACCTGATAGCCGCCGTCGCCCATCCCCTCAATGTCCGAAGACTACCACAACTATACCACCCACCTGCGTCCTTCAACGTCTTATCATCAGCTAGTATTTGCCCACGGAATATAAGTCGTTGGGAAACCTTTGGTATTTGCGTTCTCTGTTGAACTACCTGCATGCACCAATAGCAGTGCCACTAAGACTATGGAGACTACATCCTTCAGCTCCTCCACTGTAGCTGAGCTATCAATAGAGATCTCCACAGTCGTACCATCCACCTTTTTCACGGTAATATTCACAGTGCTCATAACACGAAGGAATAGAATATCAGAACTAGCATTCACCCAGAGCCGCCGCTAATTTGCCGTTATACTCGACGCGACATGAGATGGACAAAAGCTCAAGACATGGTCGTTAGGGTACCGAGACCAATGTCGATATACCAAGTTCGCATATATGACCTCATAACAATAGACTTAATGATGCTTCATATGACATGATAAAATTCCCACTCCAAGGTGACGGCCACGGCAATACACTTAAACGGATGTCCCGACCGGACCGATAGAGGTCGATGCGCGCAAAAAAATGTCGAATAGTTGCTCATGTAAAAATTCATATAAACTCGCCAGTCGCCTCGATGCCGCCCAAAAGCTGTGCGGCCGAACGCGTTTTCTTCAACTCGTCAAACTCCGGAGGCACCAACCAACTAGTGCTTGCCGGGGTAGCAGGACGGGAGGGCTGAAAATATGCAATTCTAACAGCGGAGCGAAGCACAGCAAAGATCTCACCATCGAACAGTCTCCCGGGAGGCACGGGTCACTTTCCCACTTCTTAGTACCAGGGGGGAAACAGAAATGCCCAACTCTAATAATAAACACATACCATCAACGGAGTTCATCGCGAACCCACCTATTGACGATTTTAAGGATGGCCCACATGTGCTCATGTGAGATCTCCGGGTTGATATTGGGTATACGCCAGAACGCAGGCTTCTCCTCAGTGGAGTAAAAGGATATCATCAGTGAACCTGAAACCATCCATCGCACTAGCTGATGCGGCCTGTGGTACAGCAAACCAAAAAGCATGCCACCTTACCCTCGGAGAGCAAGGCAGCCCTCATACGGCATGCTACAGTGAATAGCTCCTTAGACAGAGCACTCGGGCCCTCCTTCATAAATCTATCTCTAAGGTCATAGGGTACCCACCAGAAACATGTACCTAAATCCATACCATCCCTCGTTCACATCACCCGAGGTCCTACATGCCGACGTTGGTTGGAAAGCCAAATGGAAGGCATTGTCATTAGCACCTTCAACATCATTGGGCATCTGAAGAGGGGCCTCCCAACCCACCCTACTGGACGGCTGCGTTAGCACCTTCTCAATGATCGGTTCCTCATACTTCAGCTGTGCCTCGTCGAACTGCTTCCTCACAGGGAAGCTCGTCAACATAGCCGCGAACTCTTGCGTGTGTGTATACCTCAAGATTCACAAAAGGAGTGGTATAAACATCCTGCTCCTGGTCTGATACTACACCAGCCTGACCCTGTTGGCCATACCACAATCTCCCATCTTCTTCCAGAGTATCCATGCCTTGAATGCATCAGCCTTACGTCCCGACATGGACGAGCAATACACCGTGTCTAACGGGCTCAAACACGGAAATGCCTGAGCATGGAATCGAACCCGCATCCTCCTTGTGAGAACCACCTCTGATGCATGCTGTTCCTCATGAGCAGCTTTCAAACAACCAGAATGCCTACACAGTAGAGCACTGCACTGTAGAGGCACTCCTAACAACTTATGCAGATTCCAGGAAATCGAATCAGCCTGGTCCATGCCACCTGACACCACCATCCTTCTCATACCATCCATTGAGCAACTCCTACGTGTTAGACTATCATAGGGTTCTTCCCCCCTGGCTAAGAGAAATGATGCCCCCAAGGCACCATCCACATGTAGCCAGCATCCATACCTAACATGAAAACCTTCACAAAGCCCTCCATCGTGCTAGCCTACTTCTTCGCAATCCCAGCCAGAGCACTGCAGTCATCGAAGGCTCCTGCTACCGTACTACCAGCTGTCGCATTAACAAAGAAAGGTGTGTTGCCCTTCTCAATCTGACCACCAAATTCACAGCGGAGCGAAGCTCATCCATCGTCCCCTTTACCTCATCATTGATGCAGTTTTCGAGTTCAGATGGTATCATTTGGCAGGTCTCAGGATCACATTTAACGTAAACCAGACTCTTCCTACCAAGGCCTGAGGGGAACAATCCTGCGTAAGATGCTCCTCTAGCCGCCGCTCAGCCACGAATCTTCCCTGTGCGCACTTTCCAATGACCAACTGATCGACCTTGGGAATAGGGGACTTACCGAGCATCATGCATCCTCTCTCCATAGAGCAATGGGAGTTGGCCGATGTGAAGACCATCAATCTACCCCTAGGATGTCCTAAGCCAGGCAATGTGACCAAACATATGATAACACCACGCACCTGCTCCCATAAGACCTTCGTTGATGGTATCAGGAAACAGCTGCTGCCTAGCCACATGCAAGGCTGTGATATTACAGTGAGAAGCACCGGGTAGGAGCATACCATCGAACTGAAGCACTTATCATCAGTGTACTACCAACCAGCCTTCCTGCTATACCTGCCCATTCGCCCTATCACTCAAACCAGAGGCCAGACGCGTCAGTGTCGCACCATGACCTAACGAGTACACACCTCCAGAGAGCGTCAAGCGGAGTCTACCTGGTTCCAATGTAGAAGAAGAGGATCGTCTCGTGTTGACGGGACTATGCTCATACCATCCCAAGAACGATGCCATATGCTGTAACAACCTGTGTTCCATAAGTAGCATCACCGGCGCCATCTCAAAGGTATACCTGATCACCACTAGCTTGCACCAAGACATGCCCTTCCCAGACAGTGTCACTACATATTAACATTGAGTGCGGCAGTTAGGCCTTCAGCAGCAACTGCTAAGGGATCAGGTCGGGCGAAGAGCTGATTGAAGAAGAACAAATGGCCGGTGTTGACCTGACCAACAGCAACAACGACCTCCACCCCAGGCGTTCGAGTGGTGATAGCATACAGAGAGGTCGCATGTAAAATCAACCGCTCGCTTGAGGCAATCATCATCCATAGGTGGACACTCCTCCTCGAACGCGATTGGACATGAGACCGATGCAAAAGCCGACTCTATATCCTGCTTGCCTCGAGCCTAAACTCAGCATAGAACATTTCAGTGAACCGTCAACCTACCGAGACCACTGGTATTGGAGGATTGTCGTCGGAGCAGCAGTCTTCTTGGGCAGCAATATACCTATACCAAAAACCATCATCAAGGCATTCACCTCCTCATCAAGGCTCACTTCCGAGTCCTCTCCATGACCGCTTCATGTAGAGGTTGCATACAGACATCCTTGGGCAGACACGCCACACTGCGTATCTCCTTAGACATAGTATCGATAATTTTACACTGGTTATACGCTGGAATCTAAGTATGAAGAAAAGTCAATCATCCATTGCTAATCAATAGAGCCTCACATAGCAGTGCAAGGATACGCCCAAACCGTCGCCTGAGTTCTCAATAGCATGCCATCCGAGACTGTTGTCGATCCATGCTGCCGTCCTAGTGTACAAGAAATATCTCCCTGTAGAGTATCATCACTCAACACCTTATTGGTATTAAAGTTCTCGCGATAAGCTCCTGCCTTGCCTCCTTTGGTCCTTCCTCATCAACCTTATACCTCTCCTCGTACAACTCGCCCTAGAGTAACATAAGATTATCCTCATCGCGGCAGCGAGCATCCAATCACCCTACTACCTGCAAGGGCATCAGAAAGCACCGCTCGCACGGATGATTATGAATTGGGCTCCTCGACCTAGGCGACCAAGTGAGCACCTGAGTAACGGAATTTACGCTCTAGTTCATACCATCCCTCGGAGAAATCTACCAGTAACTGAAATAGGTCCGTCCTGTGCCTGACTTTGACCCTAGAGTAACCGCACACGTGGAAACCGTGTTGACTTGGACAAGATTGATGGATGATCTGCAGGAAGTGATGAAGGTGTGGTACGTACTATTATTACCCAGTCGTTGCCCTTATATCTCTCTAACACTTTTTTAGCCTTCTCCAAACGGCTCGGGTCGGTCCGATTGTGCAACACGCGTGTGAGCTAAACGGCAAAGCAAAGAGCTGCCACCCGAGCAACCGGAAATCCGCTCCATCATCGATAAGTAAATAGAGTAGGCCTACTGCCATACCTCATTCTCTAGCACTTCCAGACATACAATGGGGGGCGTGCAGTCTGGGTCTACGCGGGTGGGAATTTGCTGCTCGCTGCCGTTGACACCATTCGGAATGACCTAACGTGTTCATGTATACCGAAACATAGTATGGGTTGTTACGGTTACTACCTTTTGGAATTCGGGAGCGGCGATTTCAGCAGTTAGATTTCTGCCAGCAGCGGGAGAGTTTACAGGCATCGCAATAATGCGGAAAAGACTGAATAATCGGAAAAATGTATATACATTGACTTAGCATTATCGTTCTCCCTTGCGGAACATATGGAAACAACAACTACAGCACTGAGTTGATCGCTACAGCGTCACTCAGCTATCCATCATAGAATTCCAAAACTGTTAAACGCGCCTGTCTCACTCGTCTAGTGTCAGCGAGGTTGATTATGTATGTCGCATTCTCCGATATCTTGAGAGGCCGACTTGTGCAATCAACGTCGGTATGGGAGAATATGCATATGGTCACCTACATGTGTAGGTCACATCTGTGGAAGTGCTGAGGAAAATGGAGTGAAGTCCCAATAGCTCCTATACAGTTCTACCCGAATTTATATTTAAACTTCGAATCAGTGAGAAAACTTCTAAACTCAGCTGGGGAAAGCGAACCTTCATTCCAACACTGGCAATCGATATTGGAAGTACAGCTGGAAGCATTGATTGTTGAATTGAAGACTTGGGTTAGTGCACACTAATCTAACATCACACCGAAGATTGCCATATCCATGTCTAGATACACCTCTATGCATACTACAATGCTAGGAACATGTTCACACTGCAGAAACTCTGATGATTTTTCGAATAACATGATACGTCTACTCATATTTAACAACAACTCGTCATAATCTTGCTCATTCAGCAAACGAGGTCTACTTGGAAGCGATTCGATTGGATCGGTCTTTGGGACAATGACGGTAGTGCTATAACGGCTCACTCAGCCATCTCGAGGTCTGAAGCCAGTGATGACAAACCTCGGGTCTGCACTGCTGCCCAGGCGTTAAGTTTCAGAATTGAGATGACGCTCTGTAGTAGAGTGTCACGGCAATCATTCAAGGGCGAGCGCCACTTACTCAACCGAAACGGTAAATTCATATATTTTACAGATTCTCAAGGTGTGATTTCTCGCTCGCCCTGATCCATCCCAGAGACATCCCAGAGTCATCCCGGAGTCCCATCCCATTCCGTCTATAGTTTCATGTACTACATCATGCAGGATCAGCATCGTGTGGAGAAGTGAGATGTGGTCAGAGCGCTGCATGGCATGCAGTGCATGTTTTATTATGTCCCGTACTGTCTGCCGAATATCGTTTGCCTCTTGAGGTTCTCATGGATGACTCGCCATAGACATTATGCACATATCCTTGATGCACCCGCTCTCCTCGCATTCCCAGGTACTCGATTAACAAACTGATTAGAACTCAACCAAATGACTAACACCAGGGGCGTTACTCCAACAACCGAACATGCACATCAGCGTGATAGTAAATAGCGCAAGCCCATCATGGAACATCTCCCAAGACGTTAAAGTGACCTGACATTCGGAGACAGGCTAATCCCGTGACGCCCACGGCGAATAATTTCAGTACGGGATAACCTATTAGGATTCGAACCGCGAGTGCTAACTCGCAGGTTGTGACCTTACAGCTTTGGTAGTATCTCATAACATTGCGGTTCATTATGCTACGAGTTTACATCATTTTATGCTACTGCATTGTAGAGGAAAGACTGCACAAGTACTAACGTTCCTTCTCCTTGCCCACATGGATAGTTAGTTTTGGGGATATCTTCGAGACGCAGGAGGGTCTTCTCAAGCGCTGCTGGTGTGAGCTCCTCCAAAGCCTGACAAAGCCTAGTATTGAGCAAGTCATTCCAAGAGCATCACTGATTCGCCTTATGGAACGAATAGTTATCGTGCAACTGTAAAGGCTACATTGTATACCCGCTTACTGAACGGAGACTACGCGTCGATAGGTGTGACGCCATCGGTAGGAGAGGAATGTCAGTGATTCGGATCCACGAAAAGTCTCGGACAGCGTCACCACACAATTCAGCTGCGTAACTACATTTGACAGTGTGGAAAAATATGCACATGGTCAACCACATATGTTGGTGACAGTGCGAAGACTATGAGGAAATTATGGGGAATTGTAATTGGTTTCTGTAAACTTAGACGGGATTCATCTGTAATCTTCTATAATTAGTGAGGAAACTTGTGGACTCAACTGAGGAAAGCGAACATATATTTCAACACTGACATTTGATGTCCTGGAAGCCGGAGAGCCAACGACTTACTTCAGAGTGTTGGCTGCAATAAAGTGAACAGGCATTAGATAACAGACATATGGGCCATTGACAATCTCCTCATGGGTTCGGGTGCTCAAATGAGTGCACTGCAGTGTCTGCAAAGTGTATGTATCCCGGAGTATCATCATGAGTAGCATGTACCCCATGCTCCCCTCCAGTTCTAGATAATTGAATGAGCCGGTCTCGGGCCCACAACTGAGCGCTCGCACTCGACAACGCCTGGCGAGATCTGGCTGTCTCAGTCGGCGAAAACCTGTATGCCATCTCAATGCGACAGCGCGAAGGGTTACTCGCGCTACAGGGCTTCAACCAGAGCCTTATCGTATGCACTTCCAGCTCCCAATCCCGACTGATGATCCGGTTGAAACTGAGACGATGCAGAGCTCTAGAAGTTGAAGTCTTCCAAGGAATCCGAAGACGACATATTAAAAGTCTGTGTGGTATGTGGCTACCCCGAAGAGCCCGTAGGTATGTTCTCCGAAGTGCCGACTTGCAGTGACAGAAGGGAGTTCTCGTGGACCCTGCTTCTGGCCTCCGAAATCGTACAACACGCGGACATCCCCTTCTATGGCTTTCACTGCCTGGACAAGGACCTAAAACAAGGAGGATACGTCGACGCTGTAACTAATAGAGGCTTGGGGGTTACTTTCACTTCATTGTCGTCGGGGTCAATGCATACAGGCAATATCCCAGCCGCCGAAAAGGAAAGTAATTCTTCCGACCCGAGGGAGCGGTATCTAAGAGTTGCCGACTGGCCAGTCCAAGAAGGCTGGATAGCGTCCTCGCCTTTTAGGAGGTATCAGGTTCTCGATGGTACTAGCAACCTGACCGTAGGATAAATCGTACCCAGTAGCGACCTTGGTATCACTGGACATGGAGAACAGCACACAGTTATCTGTCAGTAATCCATATCGAATATCCAGGTTGGAATATTAGAGCCTTTTCCTAGTGGTATCAAGCGTAGCCCTCCCAACCCTGCATTAACAAACCCAACGCGACGAGCGGTGACTCAACATGGGGGGAGTCAATCTTCCAAAAGGGAATATCAAAAGTGCAAGTTTTGGTAGGGATGAGGAACCGGAATTTTCCGCTGCCAAGCTCGCCGTAGTTGTGTAGGAATAGGTTCATCACTGAACGCAGTGTCTTTGCCCGCGACGTTGTACCCTTCCTTCGGAAGGAGGGGTCGCCTTGGCGCCCTTGGACGCCATAAAGGACCTAACAGCACGATAGGCATTGAATTCGAGCACGTAGATACACCAGAACGCTACCTGAGCTTGGCAGCGATACGTCAACAATATCCCGTAGCACGACCGCCACATCCATTCTTGAGCCGAACAGTAGCATTCCGGACGGTATCTGCCTGAGCTGATATGAATCATTGTCATACGACGACGAACCTACCCTCGACCCCCGCTGCTCTTATCCACCCGGATCGGATGAAGCTGGTTTACACTAGGCACCCGGGGAGGGCGGGCTCGGCAATCCTTGGTACCCCTCAAACGAGAAGTGCTGCCGTGGTGAGCGGCCTCCCTCTCCTCAAGCCAACCACCAGGATCGGATAAGCTCTCTTGAGTGTCAGCCAATCGGCTCTGCGAGCCTCGACAGGACCTTCGCCGTAATGGTGGATTCGACCACCCACCTAGCACAGCAACATTCCAACAGACACCACCAGACGCATCTAATGTATCCAACGACGACATCATCATTGTGAAAACGCCTGAGTCCATGCGGACAGCGCTTTTTCCAGCTACCAACGAGAGTTCTGAGTTCGCCAGCGTAGAGGATGGAGAGCTCACCAGAGAAGGATAGAACGCCATGTGCCGTCGGACGAGGTGCTCGATACTTGTGCGAATAAGCGCTGTGATGCCTGCAAGCCAGGGGTTACGCTGACGAAATTCTCCACTTCCTACCAAAGGGCAGTGGCCTCCTCACACATTCCTCTGAAGTTGTGACTTTTCACACAGCTAGAGTTGAGCTGTCGTTCCCTCAGAGAGTCGTAATATATCCCTGGACCTCGGATGCGGGACGTCTGAGCATCATCATACAAGCCAACTTGGTGGCTCTCAGCCTTGATATTCATATGACGACTCAGTGACACGACTCGCTTATCACTCGCCAACTAACGACCCTTGTGATCAGATATCTACCCGTAAATCTATGTCCAGTATTGCAACCTGGCGGAGCGAGATTCAACCAAGCCTAAGCTCAGTCGAAGCCTCGATTAATTGTTACAACATCACCATAGGTCCTCACGCGAGGAACTCTAGTATATCATAGTTGACATCTCACCCGCAAATCCTCTCTTCCTCTCCGCACTAACACATCGCCAGTCCTATCCATGGTGTACACCATCGAGGAGTCCCGGTCGGCATCAGTCGACGTGCTCCATAGACTCGAATGAGCGCCTGAGTCCGCCCATAGAACCCCATCGCTCCGCTACCACCCACGATGCCCTCCTATGAGCTGATCCATTTTGGATAGTGCTCGTTCCCTCAGGCTTCTGGACAGTAGAGAGCCTCTACTCCTGCTCCTCTCACGTTGGTCGCACAGGCCAGGAGGAGCTGAGCACTTCACACTATAAATGTCAATAAAGAAGGAGCTACTTTCCGAGGGCCAATCTCGATCAGTAATATCAGAGCCCACCAAAGGGGGCGAGGGTGGTTCAAAGCAACTAGGAGAGTCTGATCAAGACTGCTATGTCCGGTAGCGGTTGGATGTGTTCCTCCTTACCGTATGCTCCTGGGCCAGGGACCAATTCGGTGAGATGAGGCTCATGAAACCGCGTCCCAGTGCTAAACATGCGCTGTGTGTAAGTCAATTATTGGCGTTTCTTTGCTCAACTGAGGCGGTCGTCTTCCACACCTATCGATTGACAACAAAACATAGTATACTCATGCAAGAAACGTCCCTGGAACATTCACGGGACATGCGGTGCTGGTATCCCAATAACCGCGCACTTAGGACCTAAGCCGTATTATGCATCGGAACTAGTCTAAGATCAGGGCCAAGATGGCATCTAGCTATTATCCAGCGGCCGCAGGCCCATCAGTTGCCTCCATGACCGATCCGATGAGGCCCCATAAGTCGCACATTCCCATGAACACGAAATCATGAGGCTTGTGCGAAGGAAACGTCCCAGAGGAAACCGAAATGGAAGAAATGCGAATACTACAATTGGCGCTAGTTGGCGATGGAATCTAACACAGCCTGATTAACTATAGCCCACACGTCTCTGTCGGGTGCAGACAGGGACTCACGACCCTTGAGGGCATCCAACTCTACTATACAAATGCACCCTACAGCCTGGGCACCAGCCTCTGGAATAGAACAGGACGCCTCTTAGTCTACTACCAACAAGCGTAGCATTACCTTCCACAAGGGAAACAGCAGCCTTCATGGTACCGCCAGTAGCGAGGAGGTCATCCATTATTATGACCCTATCGCCTTGCATCAAAGCACCATCCTGTATCTCCATAGTGTCACCAGTCTCATACCTAAGACGTTGTCGTTCGGTAAGTTGGAACGGTATTACTCCTTAGCATAAGTAGACCGATGCGAGCATCCCGGCAATTTCCCTGCCTTCCTAGCCATCACCATTGGAACTCCCAACCTCAATGCAATAGGAGCCGCTAGCAGGAAGCCTCGAGCGTCAATGCCCACTACAGCAGTAGGCATCAAGGATCTACCAACACACTGTCCCATCACCAGCTGAATCAACCTATCCCCACATAGTACCTTGACTTAGCTTCCAAGAGACAGATCGCTTCCTGGAACTCCTCAGGCTTCGACAACAGACCTTGGATGTCATAGAACTTCTCCACCCCTTTGAATGGGACGCACGGTAGAGCCCGAGCTATCCGCTGCAGTTGGGCGAAGCTCACAGGGTTGCTCATTGGAAACGGCGGCTAAGAGACGAGACTCAACTCTTGACAGAATCTTGTATTCTTACAAATACTCGCCTTTCCTCAACGCCACTGCGCAGTTTATTCCGATGGTCACCGCGTTGATATGGTACAATTGAATTCATCCTTCAGCGAGACACGGTTCGTGAAGTGGAGGGCTGGCTGGGGGTTCGGAAGAGCCAGCAGGGACTACCTCAATGACCCCAGCATCGCCCGGACGGGTACTTTGTAACACCATTGACAGAATACAACATGCCCCGTCTTCTCGCAGGCCGGTTTACTCCTAGTGGGGACCTCTACTACGGCTCTAACCCCTTCTGGAGAGGCAGTTTAGAACAGGACAGAGCTGCGGGAATTGGGATAGGAGACCGGCCTGATTACGGAAAGGCACAGTGAGATGACCCAAGCTGTTGGAGGGATGTATGATTTGTAATCTCGCCAGAGGAGATTACATCGCTTCGCCGGATTCCTATAATCCTTCCAAGCACTTCACAAGACGCTCAGTCATCTACAATAACCTCAGACTCAAGTCTAGGGTATCGGACCCGCAAGAAAGGTAACATGACCAACACTCCATGGTAATAGTATTAGACTGCTAACAGATACCGTAATTCCGCAACATCTGGTCCTGGCCCTGCGGCATACGACATACGGTGGGGTTTACTGCTTATCTAGAATCCTTAGCCTGCTCAAACCATGACATACTCTTTGTCAGAAAGGAGCCAGGATACTCATGTCCAAAAATAACAATACAAACACGCAAACTCGACACTAGACTATTCAATGAGGAGATCTACAAGCCGGGTCCCGATCAGTATGACCAGAGGCAACCACTCCTCCCCCCTGATGCCTTCCCTCGAGGTACAACACACGGCTACAACCAGGAGCTACTATGAGGATGATCACTTTGACAGGACGGGAAAAAGCACAGGTAAACTATCAGAATCGATAGCGGAGCGATGCATGGCCACCACCACCACAGGATAATACCCGACACAAGGGACCAGGGCCTGGCCAATACACACTAAGGGATGGCGATTTCGACAAGTTCAATTTGGAACCTGTGGGATGGAGGTAGGCGTTTGCTAGTAGTGACCATGAGCATGCATTCATGTTACAGACCGCCCTGGCTGGCGGAACTGGACGAGATGAGAGCTTCTCAACGGGCTTTGTGACGGAAGTAGTCCCAAGCTGAGCCACAACCAGTTGACTTATTTGCACCATATTATGCTCCTATCTGCCGTTACTGAGCCATTGTTGCGTTGTTCCTGGGAGTACGGGAAATTTTGCCAACTAACACAAGCTGCAAGTATGAATACAATGAGACACCACTTAAAGTAATGGTCATGCCATATGTGTCTGCTCACGTAGAGCTCGGAGGTATTCCTTCATCTCCGCCTTTAGTCCCTTCTTGACTGTCTCCAATCCCTCCGCATTGACTCGATCCCTCGTGTCGTCCCTTTCAACCGAATCACGTCCACAGACAACCGCACAGTCTTCGCTCTCGGCATTTCCGTTGTTTGCGTCGTCAACCCTTGGTGGCGGGTCGAAGTGCAGGTCGCGAGGCTTTTCTTCGAAAACTACATCCCCCTTTGATCCCAGCCATTCCTGGGCCTCGCTGGGAGCATCGTCTCCATCATTACACTCATCAACAGTCGAGTAAGGATCCGGTTCGGGCAAGTTGAGCTCTTCTCGCCTTTGACGTTGTATTTGCCGTAAGCCCGTGACCAGCTGAGCCATGGCGTTTCTTTTCTCCTCCAAGTATCTACAATCGATGGTCCAACTCTAACGAGGATATTATCAATACGCTTTTCTGGCACTGATCTCTGCGTTGGTCCCACCCTTCACGAAGGCTTCAGCGCCCGCCCTCTCCTCTCTACTGACAGGACTCTTATCGATGTATGTGAGGGAAGGTACAGCTGCGATGACCCGACGTCTATAGTGCCGCATTTGACGAACGTAAGGATTCCTTGATGAGCTCGTCAGAGGAGAACATTGGCCGACTCACCGTATGCATAGAAGTCGTTCAGTTTCGGACAACAACTCTGCAGAAAACTGATCAACTCCGTTCCGTTCTCCGTTCCCTCTGTGGGTGATGCCTCCAACAGATTGTAGCTTACATCAAGGCTCAGGAGCCATGGTATCTGACCCACCATGCATGCTGAATCTCAAAGTACCATCATAATCATCATCACTTGCGAAATTCCAGGGCTGAGGTCAGATGCAATGTTGCATATATGATTGTTGGCGACGATGAGAGTCTTCAAACTGGTGAGCTCTTCGAGGTTCATCACAGTACGAATACGGTTGTTGCTCTGAAATCTATACCATTCTTGGTTCGCCTCCTGCACAGATCTCACGATATTTAAATACTCCAAGTTTTTGCAGTGCTGAAGGCCTTCGATATGAGTGAGTCCATTGCTGTTGAGGTAAAGCATCCTTAAACGGCAGAGACAATCTAGCCCTTCGATGCGATGAAGTTGGTTACTCATGAGGAATAACGAGTGAATGCCTGAGTACCTGCGTGGCTCTTAGAATGGCCCTGATAATGGTTGTGCATGTCCACTCACGCCTGCAGCCCACCGATAGAGGTGAAACCACACATTTGAAGATAGAGACAGTCATTGAGATGAGGTGTCTCGTATTGACCTCGCGCCTGCATGTAAACATGGAAGGGTATCCAGACTGAGGGCAGCAGCTCACACTGCAGACCTTCCGTATTGCAGTCTCGCACATGGGTCGTGGCTCGCCTATAGTCCAATCTCTGCAATTGTCCAGCTCTGCCACTCTGGGATCCTCTCCCACACCTGGTACCAAAGGTCCGTACTACTACTACTACTACTACTACTACTACTACTACTACTACTACTACTACTACTACTACTACTACTACTACTACTACTACTACTACTACTACTAGTAGTAGTAGTAGTAGTAGTAGTAGTAGTAGTAGTACTGCTACTACTACCTTCAACCTCACTGAAGGCACTAGCACTCTCTGCCTTGGTACTGGTGTCAGCATGCAAGCTGCTGTGAAGGGCAGTAGGCACACTATATGTATTCGATGCCTCAGAGTTCTCATCCCAGTCCCCATCAGTTGACATTATAAGCAGCGGCAGCAGAAAAAGAGGAACTACACAGGCACTGTCGCATTACTCATGGTACTCCTGCTCTGTCGGGACAGGTTGACCATACGGCTCAGGATAGTACTAACGACCATCCAATGCCCACATCCTACTGCATGAGGAGCTCATTGTGAGACTCTATTGTACGGGTAGCAGCATCACGCCTACCATGAGGGTTCGGGAGCTATGCAGCAGCGATAGTTTACGCTTCGATGACTTATCGTTCTGTCTACCTGCGAGCTACAGGTTAGGAGCTGTAGTTGAACATATCTTCTGTGCGGTCACGCTTCCATGACCTCAAACGCGTGCGAACTGAACAAAAAACTGTAATAAAAATCTAAGAAGCCGGGATCGAACCCACGCCCTACATATGCATATATCCGATTCGTAACGGTTCCAGCATATTTACATATCAATTACCGTGTATGTGATTGTACAGCGTCAATCGCTTCAGCGTCGAAGCATAGCCATTCTGACTGTTATAATGCAGCAGCACTGTCAGGTTCCTCCTCCTCTTCACGTGTTACTCAACCTCATGCTACCCTCACTCTCTAGTACACTTGGACGGACTCTCTTCCGACCTTTGGCCGTTCGGGCCTCCTCGCGATGCGTACCTCCAGCAGTAGCACAATCTCAACGATGGTTCGCTGAAGGAGCGGCCTCATTTAAAGCTGCAGTCTCAGAGAATGGGAACCTCACACTACAACCTGCTGGCGTTGAAGTAACCACTTTCACATCATACCCTCTTGGACTGTCCTTTGCAGCATATCATCGATGTCAGCAAGAAACGTAACATACCTCTAGCGCTGCGACTCACCGTGGACTCTGGTGGATGCGGCGGCTTCCAGTAGGACCACTCTACCTTCGCGTTGACCTAGGCCTGCTTATGTAGGTACTACTTCGACCTCGTCCCTGCCGATTCAGCTACTGCAACAGACAACAAGGTGGAGGCTGATGATGGCTCAGTCGTGATGCTGGTAGATGCACTGGTAATAGGCTAGGGCAACGGTCGTAGTCTTTGTTGCCTGTCCATGGTAGTGTATTCAGTCTGAGTCTTATCTCGATAACTGCAAGGTGGACTTCGTTGAGGAGATGATAGGTTCTAAGTTTGTGGTAATGCACGGCTCATGCGGTTCATCTGTTCCTTCACACACGACTACTCAGGTCAGCGAAAACAAGCTAGCTGAATCGGCTTGCTCCTGTGGTGCTAGTTTCAATGTCGGCTTCTGAGCCACCTTTATATGACCAGACTCCTGTTGTAATATCATCGAGCGTATCATTCAATCCACCAATTTTTATATACTGTACAAAGCTGATGAATCATGATAATAGCATTGAGTTAGTAATAGGAGCAATGATAGGATCCTCTTCGATCTAACCTTTCACCGCTGATGCGTTAGTCTGCCCACATCGACATAGAAGCTGATGACGGCTTTGCTTTTTTGGACCGCATACAAATTTCATTCACCCCCATAGGAGTGCATCAATGTGGTTCGGGAGATGATGGGTGCGTAGATGTAGTTTTAATGGGCATGATGGAATCTTGGTAACGTGTTTGCTGCGACAATATAAAAACCTGGTTGCCGATCAGCAAAGTGCTCACAGTTATTCCTTCTTCTCTTATTTCCATCATGCTCCTCCATTACATTGCTTTAGCAGCAGTCGTCTCTGGAGCTGTTCCTCAGACCCATTCTGACGTTGTCAACGTCTTGAATGAGCGCTTCAATCTCGGCAAGCCTTCCGACGATATGGACAAGGCTGGGGTCCTCCTGCATCATTTCAGCAAGTCTCACGCCGGTCTTCTCGGGGAGCCTTGGAGGCCTTATACCCACGAAGAATGCGCCTTGTACAACTACCCCCGCTGCAACACTACTGCTGATCGCTCCTGCGCCTACATATCGAATAACCGTCGCAGGAACTTCCACGACGGTAACATCCTTGTGTTCTCAGTCGACATCGGTGGTATCATCTACGATCCATATCAAAACGAGGCCATGTGCGTTTATTCTGAGGATGGTGGTTCCGATGACCGCACCAACCGCGGGTGCGGGTGCCATGAAAATGATTCTGATTGTCTCGCCAGAGGCACCAATAACTCTTGTGTATTGGATATCGAGGCAGGAGTGAACGATCTTGGCATGTGCTGGTGGGGTCCAGAGAACCTCAAGAGAATGATGCATCTGCAGTCCTTCTCAATGTACAACGAGGTTGTGCTCGATACTGATCCTTGGCTCAACAACCTACCGCATAGTATCAATGCTTTCTTTTACATACCAGGAGCGGCTCAATTATGCGATACTCTAAATGCATACGACACATTCAATGCTAAATACCCCGATTCCCAAGTCCCTTTGGTGCAACTCGATATCACTGCTGATGAGTCGCCATTCAGCCTGTCTAATTTCACGTCAGCGGCAGACGCTGAATGCCCCGTTCAAACGGCCGAGCCGTCTTCTGCGAAAGACAGTTCTCATTTGTCCATACTCAGCGTGTTAATCGCTATCACTGTTATTCTGAGCTTCTTGTAGGTCACAAGACTGTTCAACGTGTTGCCAAGTTATATCTGTATATGATGTTCCTGTATTCTCTATTCTCACTCCCTCCTATTACTACTAATTGCACGATGCGCGATATTTCTCGCCTAGTTAACTCGTCTTGTGTTGAGTCAGTACAGGTTATCCATCTTGTACGACACACCATTCGGACATCCCACCCCCCCCCAATTAGCCATGATCGAGTCGAAGCTGCCCAGAGTGTTCGCTCTTTCGAAGGAATATTTCGTCTCCATTTGGACTGTGTCTGGATTACCTCGTTTACTGGAGGCAATGGATTCCTGTTTCACCGGTCGTATTGTGTTCTACTGTGGTTCGAACGTGAAAGTTTTTATCACCGCGAGGGAACGCAAAACTTCATAGCACATATGAAATCATGTTACATGTTACAAACGCGTAGAGCCCGAGAACCGAATCAATAGAGCTCCATGATGAGATGCTGTATGAGGAAGCTGATGAAGACACTGAGGATAATAACGACATTCGCGTATAGGAGACCTACGCATCACTCACCTCACGATGCTCAGCAATGCTGACATACTCACGAAACGGTCGGGGTAACCAAACTGAAAATAAATCTATCCGAACAAGGGGATGCGAAGAGGCTGCTCACTTGGGCGCAAAGATACATAATCATCGTACTAGCGGGAGAGAGCACTGCGAGGACAAGTGTGGCTCGTGGCAAGGGACTCATTGGCAACCACATCCACAACATGCTTGCTACAAGTCCCATCAACATGAGCCGCACACAAACAGCTGCAGTGACCATCCTCATAGCATGTACATCGGATGGCCGTATCTTAGCCGAATACACCCCAAGGAGAAGATACAAACAAGGCTTGAATGACATCCCTAGAGTATGGAGACAGGTTGCCACTGGCTGTGGTGACGCTACACTGTAGAGGTTACACAGTAACCCTATAATAAAGGCGGGTAAAATGGGCTGGATGAGTACGCTGAGGACCAGGGGACGCCAGGATACTCGAGACGCCTTCTCCCGTAAAGGGGCTACTTCTGAGCTCTGCAGAGAAGCCATGATCTTCTCAGTGCGAATCTCACGCACTGCATGTGAGGAATCGTCGTCCAAATCAGGCAGGACTCCTCTGTCTCCACACAGGGGAGCAAAGTATGCTGCAGTGGCCCAAAGGAGACCTTGGCAAATCCACACGTTCCCACCGATGTCCCACAACAGGCAAGTGGCTACCGACCGCTCGCCGAATCGCGAGTCAGCAGCGAGACGAGGGTAGAGGAAGCTCAGCAAGGCTCCTTGTGCGCTCATACACAGCCATCCACGGACCTGGCGATCGCTCACCCGCAGGAATAGGATGCCGATGACCACCGACATAATAATGTGGGTGGCGAAGGAGTAAGCCGCCACAGGCAAGAGGGTCGTGTCTATTGGAGAGGCACCCCACATAGACTGCAATACATAGCAAGGCAAGAGTAGGTTGAAGGTTACTTTACGCAAGGCCGTAGAGTGATGCTCGTGCCACACCGGACAGTGGAGCTGTAGCCACAACCCCAGCGCGAGTATCGTCACCAACGTGAGCAATGGGGACTGCCACATAGTATCAGGATGAGACCTGCGTAGGACCATCTTATCCCACATGGTGTTCTCCTGCCACCTACGCTCCGCCAGTTAAAAGGACATTCCGTGGTAGAGCAAATACAGGAGGCGGCGGTGGCGGCTGTATAAACTCGGCATCGATGTCCTCAAGCCACTCTTCCTTTGGGTAGAATTTCATACCTGCCCGAAACGCCATTAATACTTTCAACACAACACTACGTAGAGTAGTGGAGGCACGAAGTATCGATGGTGTGGTATGGCATCACACCCGTACAGTTCGGTGATCCACACAGGCATTTTCGTCTACCCTCCACGTCGGGTGTAGCAGTACTGCTACCATAGTCAAAGCTGATCTCTTCTCCCTCTGCAATATCCCGCAGCGACATGAGCAGCACCAAAGGGAGCCCCCCAGGCCGGCGGCTCACACACGGCTCAGTGTTGCCACCACCACAACGATGGTTGGCGAATCTCCCCAAGGAGCCAAAGTACCGCGCGTCCACATGCGTCCATACCTCCCCTCTAGGCCCTGCAAAGTGCTCACACACACTCAAAAGGTAGTTGTCTGGCAACCTCATCTCACTAGCCTCTCGAGCTCGGCGCGTAGCCACCCTTGTTGACAGCAATTCACCAGCATAAAACGCCACTATCCTGCCCTCACTGATAGGCTTCGTAGCGAAAAGTCCTTCACCCTTACCCCCGGCCTTTCTGACGGCAACATCAAAAGCTTCGCTCCGCCGACAATTGTCGCATGTTCCGCAGTATACCAACAACCCCTTGCGAGGATCAGTATTACAGGGGCATCCCTCAGGGACGGCAAACCATTCGAGATCCTCCTCACTTTCTGGGGAGACTACACTACTATTGACATAAGTAAAATTGCTGCTCATAAAACTGACAACATGAGCTCAACCCACAGCGACCAGAAGTGAACTCCACAACGATGCCGTGAGAAAATTGACCCCCTCTAGCAAAAGGCTTTCCTCAGCCTTCAGTGTGTTGCCGCTGCCGACTCCTTTGCAGCCGCAGTGGACGATGCTGATTCAATCCTACGCACCTTTTCCTCCAGACGGGCTTGTCTAACAGCAACGTCATGCACAGCCGCCCGCACCTGTGAGAGGACACTGTTCGACCAAGGAAAGGAGCGTCCCTTCTCCCCCCAACATTCGCAATAGTGGAGAAATTCAAAGTTGATCACTGCAGCACTCCCCAGGATTCAACAATTTCTGTTGTCATACACAAATTGAATTCATAGTTAACTGTCAATGGTGAGCTCGACCATATACGACTATCTCTCCCTGATGAACTACCGGCACGTTGATCAAATAACACATGAGGCATTGCACTGTAAAAAAGGAGGATATACTCGAGATGACGCGGCTGGGATTCGAACCCACGTCCTTTTTCCGTTTTCACTCCAATTACCGCAACCCCGTGCCACTACCTCATCTGTCATCCCTTGTAGCTGTACGAATATGAGGTAGAAGCCCAGTGCAGACGCCAAAGTGAAGCCGCCAGTGAAGCTCCTCATCCGTGCGAAAAAACCCGGCCCCCCACGAGCCGCTCTGGCAGTAGTGGCTGCCTGCGACGACACAGTAGTAGCCGCGGTCGCAGCCTCCGTCGTTTTAGCGGCCGTTGTGCAGAAGGCACGGAGGAGCTGGCGATTCATAAAGCCACGAACGACACCAATCATAGGGAAAATACTCAAAACCTTCGCAGTGCGGTATTTACAGCCTCAAGAGCTTCCTCCCTCAGTCAGTGTTGGGAACTATGCACATAGTTGACTGCATGTGTTGATGACAATATGAAACTTGGAGGAAATTTTAGGAAATTCTCGCTGTTTTTCGTATACTTCTACCCGAGTTCGTATCTAAACTCTGATAGTAAGCTCAGCCCGAAGAAACCCCGAGCACAGCTGAGGAGAGCAAACATATATCCCCGCCCTGTCTCTCGGCCATAAGCCTTCCCATTGAATTCAACACATCAGATCATCGAGTGAAATCATACTCTGCCCGACGTGGTCTCAGGACCCAGAATGAGTGATCCCTTAGGTTTGTATGGTTCGTCCCGATGAGCATCCCTCAGTACAACAGAGGTCCACTCCCAGAGCCGTTCCTGTAGGTCCCTATCACATGTCCACCAATAAGCAGTATCACGAGACCAGTCCAAGCGTAGACCCCCAGGGTCATAGTACCTACCTCACACTACTGCGCTCTGGAACGATCCCTCAGAGCACGCAAATGTGAGTATTACGTTGAGTAGTAAAGTAAACAATATCATAATATTTATTATATCGATCTCTTTACATCTAGTTATTCACATAAGGATATTCTTCATTCACCCTAACCTATTGCGTATATGATGTATATAGGTATGCAAAATGTATTCCTAGGATACCGTATTCACCACAACAACCTCACTGCCATACGAAGTGCATCTCTTTCCCTGAGAGAGCTCCCCCTTCTTCTTCTTCTTCTTCTCCTACTACTACTACCACTACTACTACTACTACTACTACTACTACTACTACTACTACTACTACTACTACCCGTCAGTTTGGGTCCTCGAGTCAAGCAAAGGTGCCAGTACTGACACCGCTCCAGCCTGTGGTGTAGCCGAGAACAGCGATGGGACGTACTTGTGGTACCAAGCAAAGGGAGTGCTCACTACGCCCGGATTGACGGCATTGACGACGAATTTAGATGGGTATGCAGCCTCTACATGGTGGGAAAGGGCACGGACATACAACGCGTTCGCTAATTTACTATTCGCGTAGGCCTGGAAGTAAAGCCCAAAAGTGTCTGGGGTGGAATTGAACCGGATACCTTCCGCATAGGAAAAGAGATGCGCCGAGCTCGACACGATGACTATTCGTACGCTCTCATGCTGACTAGCGAGCATGAGCGGCATGAGTAATTCAAAAAGATACGCATGCCCGATGTGATGCACTGCCAACATCTTCTCCATACCGGCCTCCCCTTCCTCGTACCCCAAAACCATCTTACCCGCATTCAGCAGGACAAGATCGATTCTATCGATACCCGCTCCAGACAGGGAACCAACGAACTCACGAATAGACTGGTAGCTACTCAGATCAAGCGATGTTGGCGCAACAACACCGGGCCCTAGAGAGGCCTGCAAACTGTCCAATCTAGCCCGATCCCCTCGCGTACCGAGTACCACTCTAGCGCCTCTATCTACCATCAGGCTTGCGGCCTCGTATCCAATACCACTCGATGCTCCTGTTATAAGTATAGTAGAACCGTTGAGGTTATCGGGAAGGTCAGACACGGTGTAAGGTGGATGAGAGTTGAAGACTGGAATGCTATTAACAGCCGACCGGACCCGGATGGGAAGGACACCCCGAGTTGCGATCATATCAAAAGTCGCGGGGATCAAACCCAATAGTATAATGATGCTGGCAGTGACGCTGAGAAGCCCCACTCTGCCGCACCCAAGCCGACCACTGGGTGCCATAATGACATTAAAACCTGTCGTAGAGCTAGTTCGATCCGTAGTATACAAATACTAACTACTGGCCCAACTCACGCAACAGTCCACATCTGAAAACAGGATAATCCCGGCGAAAATCACCAAAGGTTTCTCATGATCATTGGCCAAGTATTAGTGAGCCCCTTGGCATTTCTCTATCACCATGGACCTTCTTCAATATGGCTTCCGTCCAATTCCAAAACTCCTTCCTCATAGTATCGTTACACGTCCACCAGTAGGCCGAGTCCTTCTGCCAATCTCCACGGTATCCTACTGGGAGATAGTACCTGATTCGAACGCCCCAAATGCTCACCTAGTCTTACTTCCCGGGCTTACCCATCGCTAGTGACATCTTTCCCCACAGCTGGGCGGAGGACAGACACTGCTCCCTCGGTCGCGTTATACGCCAAAAAATGCGGTAAGTCTTGACGAGCTCCGACCAAGTGGGTTGCAACAGCCCCAGGATGCACGGCATTAACAACAAATTTACCAGGGTACTTCTTTTCCAAACGAGTCGCTAACTCTCTAGTATAAATAATGTTGGCCAGCTTATTATTGCCATATGCCCTCCATGGTGCGAAGGCATCGGCAGTGACGTTATAGCGTAACCCCTCAGGATAGGTGTACAAATGTGCGGCACTAGAAGTGACGACAACTCTAATCTCACCAGAGCTCTTCAATAGCATTGGTGTGAGCAATTCGAAAAGATAGGCGTGGCCCAGATGATGAGCGGCGAGCCCCGATTCTATACCATTTTCATCAGTGGCATATACAGTAATTAGTTTACCAGCATTCAACATGATGATATCGAGATGATCAATACCAGCATTGGGTAGTGAACGCACAAAAGTCCTGATAGTGTCGTAATTGGATAGGTCCAAGGGTGCCGGGGCCAAGACCTGACCTGGTAGTAGTATTAGAGAGGAGGTTATTCTATCCAACCTCTCTCGGTCACCTCGAATACCCAGAACCACTTTAGCACCACGAGAGGCAAGTATCCTGGCAGACTCATAACCAATACCACTCGAGGCTCCTGTAATAAGCACCACTTTACCCGATAAATCATCGGGAATATCATCCTCGGTGTAATCCCTGCTGTGTTTGAAGTTTGAGATAGGCACGGTGACGGACAATTGACGGAGAACAACCCATAAGCGCTGGGGAGACAAGGTCCCTCCTAAATAGGACAACATCGCCGGGAGGACGGCGAGCAGAGGTACGAAGACTAAGGTCGTCGTGCGTAGACAACCCATCAGGGAATTCAAAAAACTACAATATCACCTAATCATCCAGTGTGATTGAGTGAACAGCCCTAGCGAACCTCAAGCACACTTTGGTTAGGAACAATACGAGAAGACGTAATTGCTCAAGGAGACGCACACTAGACACCGATCCGATATCACTCGAGACTCGCAGGTTAAGCGGCATTAGGCTAATACTACTGTATTAGAGAGATCGTTAGTCGTATTACACTGTCGAATGGTACGAGAGCTCTTCATGGTGTTTGTATCATTGAGAGCTGCATCGTAATCGGAGTAACACGGCTGAGCGCTGAGACGATCAAAGGTGACCCAAGAGGGCACCACAGTGGCATACCAACACAGCGCCCCCCTGCCTGAGAGATTCCTAATCACTCCCTATACACAAAGCTCCCAGAGATCCTAGGACACTGGGACTGACCATACATTCAGCAGAAGCTCCTCCGCTGCCGAGAAGAGCCATCCGTGCCGAGTACGAATTTATTGTCCCAGCATGAGTGAGCCCCTTGGCATCTCTCTATCACCATGGACCTTCTTCAATATAGCTTCTGTCCAATTCCAAAACTCCTTCCTCATAGTATCGTTACACGTCCACCAGTAGGCCGAGTCCTTCTGCCAATCACCACGGTATCCTACTGGGAGATAGTATCTGATGACATATCTCAACTGCAGAGGACGGAAGCCTGGAAGGAGATCCTTGCCTAGCGAAAGCTCCTTGAGGACTGAGATCATGTCCAACCGAGAGAAGCAAACTATCAATCCCAATTCACGCTCCCGTTACTCCGCAGAGCTTCTCTATCACAACGAACTCCTTATCGAGATCAGATATCTCCTGTCAACACCTACCCGTCTCCTCGCACACCATGACCAACGGCTGGCTTCAAAATCGCGAGAGCGCCCATAACAGTGCTGTACATCAAGAATCTAGGAGGTCCATCAGCCGTAGATGCGGATAGAACAAGACCTGGATGTGCGGCATTCACCACGAACTTCCCGGGATAAGACTCCTCAAGGTGGATAGATAGTTCCCTAGTGTATAGAAGATTCGCTAACTTGCTGTTGGCGTAGGCAACAAATGGCGAAGAAAAATCAGCTTGCAGAATATCATAGCGTATCCCCTCAGGAAATGACCAAATGTGAGCCACACTGGAGGTGATAACAACCCGAATCTCACCAGAGCTCTTCAGTAGCATCGGGGTGAGCAACTCGAAAAGGTAGGCGTGTCCGATGTGATGAACGGCGAGCGCCGACTCTATGCCCAGGTAGTCGGTGTTGTACTCCGGAATTAGTCTACCAGCATTCAACATGACGATATCGAAATGATCAATACCAGCATTGGGTAGTGAACGCACAAAAGTCCTGATAGTGTCGTAATTGGATAGGTCCAAGGGTGCCGGGGCCAAGACCAGACCTGGTAGTTGTAGCAGGGAGGAGGTTATTCTATCCAACCTCTCTCGATCACCTCGAATACCCAGAACCACTTTAGCACCACGAGAGGCAAGTATCCTGGCAGACTCATAACCAATACCACTCGAGGCTCCTGTAATAAGCACCACTTTACCCGATAAATCATCGGGAATATCATCCTCAGTGAAATCATGATAGTGCCAGAAGTTAAGAAGAGGAAACGTCACGAAGAGCTGGCGTAACAGAACTGGCCACGTTGAGGGGAAGGGATCGGGATGGATATAAAAAAACATCGCCAGCAGGGCAATGAGTACAGGGACGATTATAAACGTCGCCGTACGGAGTGCACTCATTGTAAATATGAACTGCCTAAAATTTTTAGTGAACCCTCAAGTTGTGGAATCACCCCTGAGCATCCAAACATGGCACCCTCAGCGGCACCATCGACATGATGTGGTTACGTCTGCACCAAATGCACGATATGACTTGGTACATCCCTGGTAGCAAGTGAATTGGGAAGCATATAGACTCGACTACATCCGAAAGTAGATTACCGACTAACAGCTTTTTCTTTGATTTACTGCCGGTAGCATGATTGACTTCATCAATGAACGAGTAACTTCACTGCTCTATTGTGAGGCTCGCAAATTGCGAGTCGCGATGTAAGACCGGGGCTGCTTATTTGGTGTCCCGGACACCGTGTCCACAAGGAGTGTTTTCCCAAGGCGCGAGCCGAAAAATTGCGAGTCGGCCGAGACTATGCACAATAATCACTATAGTACACTGAGAGGAGCACCAGCGCATGCATGTGCTCTCATGCGCGTCGCTGTCTTCCCAGTGACGCTCGCGTCCACAGGCTACCGTTGAAGCCATAGGAGAAGATCTCAGGCGACCAGAGGAATACACGATCACTGTAACAGACTCAGGCCACTAAAAATACGCGAAAACCTGACAGGCGCACAACATCGTTGCGCCATGCGGGCCTCCGTGAGATTTCTATAATCGCAAAATTAATCTCACAGCTCCGGAACCGACATACAAATTATCCCATTGCACGCCTGATACAGCCGTTCAGAATAGTTTAACGCAAGCGCAAGAAGATTTTGGGAAAATAACAAAGTATTCCACAATGACAATGCCTTCCCCCGAGAACCCATCGAAAACCATGAATACCCTCGAATCCACATGACATTAACTTGTGATTCATTTTACGAAAAAAACTGAGCTCGATTTCACAAGGTATCGAGCATGAGCGACTCCTCAACAGGCCGACTACCACTCACTGCTTTGTGAGCTTTCCTTAGTTTCTCGCGTGTCCAGTCCCAAAGCTCCTTCTGCATGGTCTCGTTACAGGTCCACCAATGAGCTGTATCTTGCTTCCAATCTGCGCGCAGACCAACGGGAACATAGTATCTGGGAAAAATTAGATAGAATAACCAGCCGAAGTGTTGAAATGTTATAGGGGACATTCGGGAAGTCTATCGTCTTACAACGAGAACTATAATACAAATGAACCACAGTGTATTTAACTCACCCGTCAGTAACAACATTGGCGTCAACGGCGGCTCTGAGTAGAGGCATTGCGCCGAGAGTCGCATTGTAACCAACCCAGGTAGGGAACTTCTTGACAGATGAAGAGAACTGTGTATGAACCGCACCTGGGTTGATCGAGTTCACAATGAACTTGTTCGAGTATCTCTTGTCCAACCGCTTCGCAAGTTCACGACCATAGAGAATATTGGCGAGCTTGCTAGTGCCGTAGGCGGAACTCGACACGAAGTTGTCTGCCGTTACATTATAGCGGATACCTTCTGGATAGGCCCACATATGGGCCACGCTAGCAGTGATGACCACTCGAACCTGCCCGGGTGCTTTTAACATCATCGGCATGAGTAACTCGAAGAGATAAGCATGACCAAGATGATGTGTCGCCATCATCCACTCTACACCACCAGCATTCGCGGTGAATGTATCTGGACGTTTGCCCGCATTTAACATGACGATATCGAAATGGTCAATACCAGCGTAGGGAATTGAACGCACAAAAGTTCTGATAGTGTCGTAATTGGATAGGTCCAAGGGCACCGGGGCCAAGACCAGACCTGGTAGTAGTAGTAGAGAGGAGGTTATTTTATCCAACCTCTCTCGGTCACCTCGAATACCCAGAACCACTTTAGCACCACGAGAGGCAAGTATCCTGGCAGACTCATAACCAACACCACTCGAGGCCCCTGTGATGAGCACCACTTTACCCGATAAATCATCGGGAATATCATCCTCGGTGTAATCCCTCTCATGTACAGTATTGCATAGTCGGCAGCTATTAAGAACAGCTCTCGCAAGAATCGGCAAGTAACCTCGAGAAGCTTCCATATCGAAGGTAAGGCATATACCGAAGATTAGAGCGACCAGTAGGACAGCAATTGACACGAAGGTTGGCAACAACGACATTAAAGGAAACCGAGGTACCTACCAGAGAGATCGTCACCGTAATCACATGGCTCAGATCTATCACGAGCCATACAGAGTGTCAATAGGGATTATTCGGTCGAAGTGACATTCCAGAATATCTTCAACTTCACCAGGATTACCAAGAATAGTTACTTACGTGGCTCAGCGGGAAGTACTTATGAATGCCGCCTCACATTGCTTGTTTCCAATCTACTGCTATGACGATGCATCAAGTTAGATCATGCCACCTCCATGATAGTGTGGTTTGATGGATGGCCGATAGTGGGCCTCACGCACAGACTGTGTGCGCCACACTGTGGCGGCCACAGCGTGCTTGCGTGCAATCATGGGCACGCGTGTTTTTGCTCGGGCCGAGCAATGGCCAGTCTTTTATTCGTACATCTCAAGTCTGAGTCGTAGAAGACTCCATAGCCATCAGATTAATGCCTTAGTGGTTAGTTGTTGACCTTGAGACTTAATGGCATCTTCTATGAGTCGCGTTCATGAGGCGGAGCGCGGTCCAACTCTCACAGAGAGCACTTCCGCACTATGCAGTGCTCCTCCGCTCAAACCCACACACAGTTGAAGCCTTCATTGGGATGAACGAGCGTTTATGTTCGCCTTAATACAACACTGCGAGGCGACTCGAGTTATATCATGTAATATTGCTAACATTCCCACAGCAGATGTATCAACTTGATAACAGAGCACCTCCATGGAGACATAAACCAACTCGGGAAGTAATGAGAACCTTGCTCGAGCCGAGTGAAGCTGAGCAAGGCTCCTTGAGAGTAATTTGAAACATAGCAATACCTTCACGGACGACTACACGTACGGGAAAGTCGACATTGAAAATATGAAACCGGCGAGCATTTCCGAGTAGTTTTCAAGTTCCCTAGCGGCCTGTGTCTGCGGCGCCATTGAAGGCAACATGGATGACTATAGTTCGCTTTTGCAACCGCAAATCAGCGGTTCCCACGCGCCACAAGACTTTCCTGGAATCAATAACAGTGTGCCTCTGTTGCACGATTTGAATGGCTCGAGTCTGAAACCACTCCACTAGCTGTGTGTTTGCGTGCTGTGACGATTGCGTGGATGTTGGCGCCCGGTTGTGAAGATTATCACGTTGGGTCAATAAGGTGCAACATTCCGCTGAGGCAGCGGCGCTGGCTAGCAACTTAGATTCGCCAGCTGCACTCGTTTGTTGTCGCCGCTATCTCGTGCCAGCAGTGTGAATGAGGAGACAGTTACTCGGGATACTTGCACTAACAGCTCCGTCTCCTTCGTAGTCTTCGTAATTGAAGAATGTCTGTGCGTCACGCACAGTGCGTGCCGCGACGCCATGCATGCAAGCTGTGGTCGGAGGATCTGCCCGCTCCCGTTCTCCTGTTGCCCAGTTTGCTAGTTGCATTGTGTTGATTGTTCGCTATATGTAAATCGACTCCGTTCGGCCATCATCAGCTACCTTTTGTTGTTGTCTGACTGTGCTCTCCTGCGCGTTCGGAATAGACAGTATATGACTGGCGCGAGGCTCCTAGCTCATGTCTGCATGCGCCAAAGCGCCAAACGAGCGGTTGCGTTCAGAGTCTTTCATGGTATCGCCTTGAGGTCTATCGTTGGCATTCCTGCCAACCTCGTCGACCGCAGCTTAGTGTATCTGATACCGGTATCTGCCTTTGGGATCGTGTTGCCAAAGTCATTAGCATCGACTTCCTATGGTACCAATTGACCACGCAATCATGATTTTGAGTAAACCCGTCCACGAAGCTGTGTGTAGGCGTATGTGAATCAGAGACGTTATACTTGAGAACCATGATAAATGTGACATTGGGTATGATGTAATGTGAACATAGGTTATGTACGTTCGAAGGTGAGTCTTGGATCCGTTCGCGTAGACTACACGGAGTGTGAACGAATGGAATGCGCAGGGATTCAGTTTTTGTTCTTCTCGAACTCCCATGTTTAAAGTTATCTGCGCCGTTCTCCTGCTAATCGGTGTTATGCTCAAGGGTCAAGGTTGCGATGCAAGACCAGCTCGCCCAGTAGATGAGACCACATGCTTTTCCTCAGTCTGCCCCACTCAGTGTAGCAAGGAAAGAGGGGTGTGCCTTGGGGATGAGACAATCCATTGTGAATGCTTCCAATGATAATCCCTTCTACGATGATTCTACTCGTTGCCACCTTGCAGCCCACCGAATGTGGACCCTCATTGTCTCTGCAATACCACCAGCTAACGATGCTATGGTAACTACGAGGTCTCCCTCTGTCAGTTATGGGCAATCGACTTATCATTGTGACCTGGCAGTATTTCTGATAGCCATCTTGTACCTTGCGAGCTCCAGGCTCGCTTCTCCCATCACTCGGTCGATTGAACTTGAATCGATTACGAGCGATGTGGCAATGGCCTTCAACTCGATTTATTCGCTGCGACTACTTTTTCTCTTCCCTTTTCTCAACACATGGCGGATGACTAGTTTGCGGTAGTTCAAGTTGTTCTGGATCGTACAGTAGTGATGTACGACACCCCAGCTTTTCACTCTGCGTTGGGTCCTATCGATCAAGTTTAGTTGATTTTGTGTTCATGAATCGTTATGAGTGTGATCGGTGGAGACTGAGATGTTCCTGGGATATCTCAGTCACGACCTCGCGAATTCTAAACAGCCAACTTAACCGAATTTCCGAGTAGTTTTCAAGTTCCCTAGCGGTCTGTGTCTGCTGCGCCATTGAAGACAACATGGATGACTATTATTCGCTTTTGCAACCGCAAATCAGCGGTTCCCACGCGCCACAAGACTTCACTGAAATCAATAACACTGCGCCTCTGTTGCACGATTCGAATGGCTCGAGTCTGAAACCACTCTATTAGCTATGCGTTTGCGTGCTGTGACGATTGCGTGGATGTTGGCGCCCGGTTGTGAAGATTTTAGGTCGGCCAACCGTGCCTTCTTCTCTGATATTCGACCTGTCATAGTAGGCTGCGATCGGAGTTGCAGAGAAAATAGCGGCCGCAGATGCATGAGTCCTATGGATTTGTGGGCGTAGCGAAAAATGTAGCACGCGAACATCTGAGAGGACTGTTAGCACCGCGAGCAACTTGTTGCTATGAAGCACTTCTGCGCTGCTCTATCTGTGGGAGCATCCCTATTCGGGGCGCTGCTCTTCGGCCTGTCTCTAGGCTTTTCTGGACCGGCGATTGATACTATGAAAGACAGTGTAACAACGCCCGATGGGGATCATGTTCCGATCGGTGCGGGATCCGACCTTTTCGTCTTTCGTACCAGTAACGAGGCTTCCCTCTTCGGTTCCCTGATCAATATCGGTGCAATCATCGGCTCGCTGACTGGCGGGCCTGTTAATCATAAGTTTGGTAGTAAATGGAGCCTCATAGGGGCTTCCCCTCTATTCCTCTTGGCCTTCTTATGGATTGGTCTGGCCCGTACAGCCTGGCAGCTGATCGTAGCTCGTGGCGTTGTGGGAATTGCCCTCGGTCTAAGCTCTTTCAGTGTCCCTACTTATATTGGTGAGATTTCTCCTACCAAGTACCGTGGCCTGTTCGGAGCTTGCAACCAGCTTGGCATTACTATTGGCATCCTGCTGGCGTATCTCCTCGGGTTGGCCTTCCGCACTCAAGCGGAATCACTCGATCCAAATGCCACATCTAGAACATTCTGTAATTGGAGGATCCTTAGCTTCGTCTACATCATTCCAGCGGCACTTCTTGGGATATGCATGTTCTTTGTTCCGGAATCCCCACGCCGACTGGCTGAAAACTCCCGTAACGAAGAAGCCAAGGCTATCGTTATCAAACTACGTGGAGGCGACGAGAATGATCCCGTGGTGAAGGCTGAGCTCATGGCCCTTGACGCTATCACGTCTGCGAAGGCTAACGAGGCTAACGAGAAAGGTTCTGTCATGAAATCCTTGAGAGCTTTGAATGAATGTAGAATGCAGCTCTTCATTGGTATCATGTTGCAAGTACTGCAACAGTTCTCTGGTGTCAACGCTATTATTTTCTACCAGACCTCTATCTTCCAAGCTGCAGGTATCGATAACCGCAATGAAGTGGCACTGAGTGTTATGGCCGTACAAGTCGGCGTAACTATCGTCGCTGTATTGGTTGTTGATAAGCTTGGTAGGAGAGTCCTCCTCGTCACCGCGGCCTCGGGCATGTGCATCAGCGCAATATGCGAAGGTATATTCTTCTATCTGAATGATGTCTCTGGTAACGAGAATGTCGGATGGTTGGCAATTACTGCAGCCTACGGCTACATTGCGACCTTCTCCCTTGGTGTTGGTGCTATACCATGGCTTATCATGGCTGAAATATTTCCCGACAAAGTCAGGGGTCTGGCTGCTTCTATCGCTACTATGACCAACTGGCTTTGCTCTTTCATCGTCACTCAGTTCCTGGATCAACTCAGGGGCGCTATAACTTTTTATGGAGTCTTCTGGCTCTTCGCTGGAATGTGTCTCATAATGGTATTGTTTGTCCTATTTATGGTCCCGGAAACGAAAGGGAAGACATTTGAGGAAATCCAGGCGTACTTTTATTACAGAAAGCACGCCCGCGCAGGCGTTGACAATCAACCGTCGGCTGTTCCGAATCCTCCTACAAAATAGATCTTTGCTATGCACATTGTGCAACAGGAATTCCCAACGAGTTTATATGAGCAACATGAATAGGAATGAGTTAGTGTCGGCGATAGTATTCAGATGGTGAATTTTTTTGCTACCCTCGGTAGAAGCCTAAAATGGCATTTATACCATTACTGTCCGCCTGACAGTGTCGGGCTCTGTATGGTCTATCATTGGTATTCAACGCTTTCCAGAATATTAAGTTCGTTCGATATCGATGATGTCGAACCCGAATTGTTCAACTACAACTTCGATTGCTGAATTTCGCCTCCGGGTGAAATATTCTATCTTGATGATCGGTCTCTCATTGTCTATCAATGAACAGCTGTTGGGTTAATGTCGTAGCTTTCACGGGCGGTGGATCATGAACTTGCGTATGCGAATGATCTGGGAATCAACCTTTAAGGGGCCAAGACTTGTTCACACCTACATAGGAAAGCTCGCGGGCGCATGTCCAGATTCGACAACGCAGGATCCGATGCGAATCGACCAACCTCAAAGCCGAGAACTGAAGAGGACTCTTGGCGATGGCCTAGGAAGCTTGACTAAAAGGTCGACCGACAGCAGTCACAAAGCCATATGGAGAGTCGCAAGAACAAAAGACTGAGTCGAAGGAGGAGCTTCAAATCGGTGATACCGAGGTCACGGCAGGAGAGGCTTAGCCCTTTGACAAATGAGAAGGCCCATAGAGTAAATGAGAACGCTAATAAGCAGTGCTTCAGACTAGCACCAATCGGCGAATCTGGCCATACTTAGATAAGATACCACTCATCCATCATACAAAATTATAACGAGTAGAAGATACGATGGTAAAGAATGACAGCAAGAACGGGGATGTCATACGAAACGTTGATTCTGGATTCAACCAAACGGCAAAGTATATGAGACACCCAAGACTTGAGGAGAGTCAACACAACTCGTGATGAACCCAGCGACGATGATGCAGAAGACAAGAGACCAGAGAGGAGCGACAGTTCCTAAGAGCCTTATATGGTATTCGCTACATGTACGTTGGATGCGATGGAGGAAATTCAGTGTGTCGAATTCTTTTTTCCTCCCTTTTTTTATCGAGACCCTCGCCCATTCTTGTACCGTTGTATGATACAACTTGTATCGCCAATGGCCGACCGCCACTACTTCAGTCTTCTTCCAATCTCCACATTATCGTCATCAACACTCTCACCCGTACTATCTCCATGGGCTCAGTTACAAAATAGCAAAGGAGCAAATAGCAAAAAAGTGCCAATTAGCTGGAATGTATATTCCCTGCGGCTTTTGCTGTTGTGCTAGTGTGTAAAAACGCTATGGCTGATATACAGAAGAGCAAAGTAGCAAAATGCACTTTACAAATACGCAAATTTGCCGTATTGTATAACAGAAACTGCTCGAATGAATATCGTTTGCTTGTTTATATTTCAGAAAGTTGCTACAATGTATAAAAGTTGCCGCTATGTGAAGTGCTACTATGTAACAAAATTGAGCAGTTTTGCTCGAAAAAGTGGCAAACCAATAAATTGCTCCTTCTACTAGTGAGCAAATTGCTACTTTTCAGAGGAGCAATTTGCCGCTTTACGAATGGGCAACCCCGCAATGGAGCAAATTTTTGCTGTTCTACAATCGGAAGAAGAAATTGAAATTTCGCACGCGAGAGTCGAACCTTGGTGGGTTGTTGGTCATTGTGTTGAGCATTGCATTATAGTTTCGAAGTCTCTGAGTGATGGCTATTTTGCAAAGTTCTTTGGTTCTGTCGATATAGATAAGTATAGTCGCAGCACTGGGAGAATGATGGATGGACTATTGTAAGTGGTAGTAGGTCGTTAGTAAAGACTTAGATTCGTTAAGGGTTCGTTGGATTTTCATATTTTCCACATCATTGCAGTTCGCACATGGTCACAGAAGGACGAGGGAGAGGATTTGTGTTTACGTGGTATTTCGTATTGGGCGGAATCACTCTTACTGAGTGATCCGAGATCACTTATTTGGATTAACGTGGATCACTCATCTGCAATGCAGTGCTGTATTGCAGGCACCCCAGTGATGCCCATGCTAGATGTCGTGGCTTTCATACTCGCATCCTGATCCTTACGTGGCCTATTATGCTCTTCGGTGGTCTGAGCAAATACTGGTCATTGCAGAAAGATGCCCCTCGCGAACATCGAAATTATCGAGGAAAGAGGCAGGCTGGCTTAGCGGTGCTAAGTTAGCACTCCGCATCTACCCGGCGCTGAACAAGTTCTCCCGAGGTACCAGATGTGAGGAGATAGTGCGAAAGTACTCGCCTAACAACAATGCTATTTTATTGGTGGAGGAGTATGAGAGCCACGCGGCAAAAGAATTGCAGCAGAAGCGGTCGAAAGAGGACGAGCGTGGAGAATCGAAGTAGTTTCTCCCATCACTGGAGACTAGCGACCATGTACGCACTCGCAGTAAGGTAGGCACCTCAGTGGTGCCCAGCTGTTGTAGCTGCTACGGTATAGTAGCTGTCTCGGTGATTGGTAGAGAAAAATTTGGACGTTTCTCAATATGCTTCTCATGCAACCCTTGATAGTATCTCTATGAAGGCCCTTTAGTGGTGCCCGGGAGTGAATATTGTGTGCGGAGGGCTGTAGAGTTCATATTTAGTAATTCTGTCCGTGTTGCGTTACCCCTGTACAATTCTTCGACACCTCTGCACAGTCCATAATAATAGCTCCACGAAAGCACTCTGATGAATGACACTGTCCATGAGTGAACGTTTCTCGTGTAGAATGTCAAAGTTGCCCGTAATACTTACCTAATGCCTACTTAAGGATTTAACTTCTGAGTATTGTTGAGTCGTCAATACGTACGATCGTAGTGAACCATGAGACACAATTGATACGATGCAAAAAGAGAGTGGATACTCGAAGATGGGGACTCAATTTAACTGTTATCTCATCTGATTCAAACGCGACATGCAAGAGCAATCATGTTTTTGGTATTCAGCATTGATCATAACTCGCGCTGTCTTCAGACTGAATGATATATCTCACTAGAGTGCTATCACGCTTTGATCCGGTACTAAGTGAGACACGAGGTGTGACACCTCTGATAGATACTTAGTAAGTGCACAGGGCATGAACATGCACCAGAATGGATATAAGACGCAATACCGTAATCGAACGAGAAATGCTATCCCATAACTATGTTTGCTCGATTGTATATTACTCGTACGAATAATGCAAAAGGGCAGGTTTGCTAATAACGCTAACAGAGACGCAGTTTGAGCGAGTGAGCAAAACGCTAGTATATATTCCCGCAGGGCGTGAGTTACAAGAAAGCAAATAGCCGAAACATAAAAGTAGCGCAGCGTTGTCACATACCGGCAACTGCCAATTTGTATATTTTATGCAGGAACATCACACAAGAGCGAACCTTAAAAGGTGCCAGACTACATAATTACAACGCGAAACATATTTAACAGCAAATGAGCACAACTTGCCAAAATAACGAAAACGTGCGGGCGAAGCACACTTGGGCAACAGTGCCAGCGTGTAAAACACCCCGGGGGAATATACAATGCAGCAAAAAAGGAGCAAAGGAGAGCGACTTGCTGGAAAACACTTTTGAATTTGCTACTTTCAACATTTGGTTGCTAAAACCTATACCAGAAATTGCTAAGGTGTAAATGGGGTTGCTACTTTGTAACTGAGAAAGCAGCACATACAAAAGGGCAAAAAAGTGAGACTGTCAGAAATTATAGCACTTGGCAAATCCGCAATATCAGCAAAAAGTTGCGATTGCCGGATTGTATTACACCGTCTCCATGCAAGGAACTGTCTCTGCCAACGACTGTTTAGGTAAGTTCGTAGAGGTGTTATAACAACCTCGAACGATCTGCTCGCGAGTTACCTTCCGAGAAACGAGACTATTCCGCGAGTAACCTAGGAAATGCAAGCTTGGTTTGGTTCCAAACAGTACTCAGTAATGCAATCCCAATAGTAGTGCTCACCCGTCAAACCAAGGTCGCCATCTCAAGAATCTGCGATTTGGAGTTGTACGATGTAGTGGTTCTAGTCAAAGCTATTGCCTTCGCTATCCAGAAATCTTCTGCTACTTATATTCTTTATTCTTCACATCTCATTCTGCAGTTCTATCAACTGAGTTTTTGTCATAGTCCACAACAAGTCTCCAACTTGTACGCGACGTTGCTCATCTGAGCTCATCCGCTACTACTTAGGGTTCAGTTATTAACAGCTGTCTGAGCACCGCGTTCCATGTACTGGATGAACTCAAGATTACCATTAAATTTCAGTGAACGGAGGCCCTTCAGTAAAGGGTGAGTACTAATATTGGCTACAGCGAGGACATATATAGACAAATTGTGTCGGGTAGGAAGGAAGGACAACAGTTATTAGATACACCACATTATCGCTGCTTGACGTATCGGCCGCAACGCTCCCTAGATTCGTCCTCGAGCTCTCTCGCGTGCTTATAATAAACACGACCGTCACCTGAGTATCAATAGCTCCCATAGACAGCGAAACTAAGAACGAACAAGCCATCTCACCATCTCGCATTGCGAGGTCTGGGTTCGGAATGGTATCGCTCTTACGACCAATACTGGTATAACCATGTCCGTACAACTTGCAGTACTTCACACCATACCTGACAAAGCCGAGTAAAGAGCAGTGATGCACAAACTACTGCTCACAACTCCAAGTAGTTCCATACATCACTATAGGTCCAGTCCAAGATAGGGTTTACCCGCATGAACTCCGGCCACCCTTCTGTCGTTTTCGCAAATGCTGTTAAATCGCCACAGAAGGGATCTGACTGGCGTTCCTCTCACACTGTACGAGTACGTCCTTACCTGTAGACCGACTCCCCATGAATATTGCCTTGAGCTCAGGATGCTCCTCCTTTATCCGCTCAAGTCCTACTTTTACACCGCCAACAACCTGATAGATGATATACCTAACAGCCCATGACTCCTCATTTACTATACCCGCATGATGTCCAGGTTATACACTTTCTGCATGTCCTCGATAAAACTCTCCACTTCCTCAAAAGTGTCGTTTTTGGGGTCTGCTATATACCTACCAGAAAGAATATCCGCAAACTCACGATCACTTTCATGGCCGACAATTACAAAGTTCTCAGAGGCACTCCCTCACTGTGCTTCTGCCGAAAAACATGGTCAACCATATGGAGTAAAACGGTGCAATCTTTACCTGCCAAAACAACGGTGACCGATGCATGAATGGACAACCACAGCAAGAGCAACTGCAGTACCTCCATTGAACGCCAGGCAGAGCTCCTCGGGTTTGTAATTATCATAGGCCTCAGCTATTATGGAAAGGCTCTTCGCGGTCTGAATAGTGAATGTAATGAGGAATACATCGAAAGGGCCAGGACGGTCGAGAGGAGCAACAGAAGAGTGTTGCAAGTACCATCTGCTGTGATACATCCCAGACTCAGCCAGAAGGGTTACTCATTGTGAATAGATTCGCGTTTACAGCAAGGCTTTATCGGTAATACCGTAACTCTACCTGTTGTCGAACTCTGTTGATCTCTTTAACGTTGGCCAATAGAGAGGTGGCAACAGCTGTGGGTTCATCTATCGGTGAGAGCGATCGGCCGTCCTCCATGCTAGACATGCTTCCAGCACTGATAAAAATGACCAAGTCCAGTGGTGACACGATTAGCCGCTCAACACGGCCCAAGTAACAGTAACCGCTCACCACAGGAAACGCTCGTGATTGAAGTGAAGGATATTACCCTGATGATACTGACGCTGTTGTGCTATTCCGTCGAAGAGCTTCGTCACTCTCTGCATGACCATCCATTCCTGAGGGGAGACCTGATGAAAAAGATGAACATTGGGTCGTAGAACGGTAGGAATTAAGTTCGCCTCCACTAAGACCGTCCCTATCTAGCGTGCCAAGGAGCTTTCGTGCGCAATGCCGTTCCTATGGAGTATTACAGTCCTTATCAGCAACAGTTGTGCTTTGAAAACGGTTAAGGTCCTCCTCGCCTTGACTCGCAGTAGCAGCTGTTGCTACAGGCATAGAGTGTTTATGCAACAATACCGACTACAATTATAATCCTCGCAAATTTTCAGATGGACCCACACCTCCTCGTTGGAACGATAAGGTCATATCACTTTTTTTCTATAAGGCAAAAGAAGCCACTCCCCTAAGTAGGTGATTTCATAAGGGCACTTTTGGACTTCCCCCTCGCGGCCTCAGGAGGGACTTTTCGCAGTAGCATTTCTTCGCTCAATGGCTCCGCTCGAGTTCAAAACCCATCGTGGTTTTCCCGCGGAGGTTCAAATCCGGCAAGGCGCTTTCTGCCTTTTTCGCGACTTTTGGGTACTTTCTAGCCATAATTATTCTCCAATTTTGTAATACTTAGCATGCCGCCAACCTTAATCTCTTAGTGGGATCTTGTGGGACATGAGCTGAGTATACGAGTCGATTAGCAGCGTGAGGAAATATACACATGTTCAACTTCATGTGTTGGTGACAATATTGGAAATTCTTGGGAAGTTCTCGTCGGTTTCTGTACATTTCTACCAAAATTTGTATGTAAACTTAGTTGATGGAATCGAGCGTATATTCCTACGTTGTCGAGCAGCAGGTGACGCGGTTTGTCTATCATGAAGTCAGGCACGGATAAGTCTCCTCTTTGGAGATGACTAGTTGCTGGTCACCAGCTTCATAACTGTTTTGTAATACTAGTAGGGAGTGGTGGAGGAGGCTAGTTCGATCCAACGCGGAGGTAGTTCTACTGTTGTGAATTAGGCGAGGAAAACGACTTCGAAAATATGAATGCCTTGGTTAAGGACTGATGCAATGGCTAACCGTTAGCCGCTAACGGGTTTCACCACGGAGATTCTCAGAGCTCCCCGACACTGTAGGTGTACTTGGACAGCTTATGAGAGGCCTTGCAGTCTGGGTAGTGGTAGAATATACTCTATTGTACATTATGTGGATAAAGAAGTGGAGGGAGCAAGGAGCGCTGGTCATTGATGGTTATAGATAGGTTTTGTTCTATGGCATTGCCTTGGGTCGGTTTGCCGCCTCTCATTTTTAGTTTTCCTAGCTATCAATATTATCTCGAGATGTGGTATGGGGGATGCGTCGTAGTCACTACAGACTTGGACGCGTTCTAGATATACGTACCTACCATTTCGGCCACAACTTGCCGTAGATATGTGAACAGCTTAGATGGATAGTATTGGTAGTAAAGACTATCAGATACAGCGTCAGTGAGTCGATGTGGACGTCCTGTCGCTAGTCGTTGGATGGGTGTAGGCACTATGAGAGGCCTTCTCTGTACAGCACAACTGCCCTAATTACCACAGTGGTTGCTCCTTGTAGACTGTAGTTGTTCATAACCAACCCATTGTTACTGTAACGCCGTGTCGGACCGAGCAGGTCTCTGCATACTTGTCATATGCTATAGTTCCTAGGGGTTCGCAGTGGACCGTTCCGGAGCAGCTGAGGAAAGGTCTCTGTTGGGTTGGTAGATTTGTGAGTACGCACCTGTATAGGGAGACCTGAGGGTCCTAGTCTATGTGGATGCCTTGGGCTTGCAGGGGTAGTTTCTCACTGTTGTAATATGTGCGACTTAACATTCATAGCGCGCGTATCGGATGGGCTCATATTCACGGAGACCTGGGATGGTGGGAAGGAAGGACAGACTATGGCAAAGTACAAGCAACAGGTAATAGAATAGTCCCCCCTGATCCTCGCCTAGAACGCCTTGGTCTTCAGGCGAAGCAGTTACTTCGTCATATGAATACATTCCCACCTCAGTGTTCGATCGATACAGGGGCGTATGTTTTCCAGTAAGTACCGAGCTTCGCTCCGCTAGGCAAATGGTTGTTGTGTTGTTGTTGTTGTTGTTGTTAGCTACATTACGGACGGCGGTATAGTGTACATGACGCTGTGCGATCAGAGGTATCCAAAGAAGTTGGCCTTCTCGTTTTTAGAGGTATGCCCTACTACTACTATCGTCGTTGTAGCTGCTGTTAATGAGTCTGGTAGGAAATTCGACAAGCCTTTGTGGAGGAGTTGGCAAGGGAGTTCGGTACTACTGATAGTCTGGACTACCGACAGCATATAGAGGCCATCACCAAGCCTTATCATTTCATATCTTTTGGTAGGGCGGCGGAGCGAAGCTAGAAGGGGCGTAGTAGTAGTTGGTGGTGGTTGATGTGTTTAGATAGGCAGATTACGAAGAGGCGGAATGATTACAGGGACCCTACATCGACTCGTGCGCTGAATAGGTTGAATGATAGTCTTACGGAGGTTAACAGCATCATGCAGAAGAATATTGATGATATACTTACAAGAGGTAATAGGGATGGCAGGCGGGGGAGGGGGGTATTGTAGGGGTAATCTAGGGGTATTGTAGGGGTAATCTAGGGGTATTGTAGGGGTAATCTAGGGGTATTGTAGGGGTAATCTAGGGGTATTTGATGGGTAATCTAGGGGTATTGTAGGGGTAATCTGGGGATATTGGAGGGGTAGTCTAGGGGTTTTGGAGGGGTAGTCTAGGGGTATTATAGGGGTAGTCTAGGGGTATTGTAGGGGTAATCTGGGGGCATTGGAGGGGTAGTCTAGGGGTATTGGAGGGGTAGTCTAGGGGTATTGTAGGGGTAGTCTAGGGGTATTGGAGGGGTAGTCTAGGGATATTGGCCAATCTGTGGAAGGCGTGTCGAGGGTCGTTAATGATTGGCGTCGGTCAGGAGAGAAGCTCGAGGATGTTGGTAGAAGGGCTAATGACTTGAAGGATGCTAGCAAGTCCTTTTCGAAGAAGGCTAGGATGATCAATCTGCAGGTGATCCGTGGACTCTCGGGGAGATAGTTGTTATTATTCTATTCTCCTGTTCAGGCGATGTTACGCAAGCACGCGACTATGGCGATCTTCCTGATATTCTTCGTATTTATCATTTGGTGGAAGGCCTGCTGAGCTGCTGCTGCTATTGATTGATATACGAGCTTGCTTGAACACCCCAACTAGCACCATCGATCAGCCTTCTCGTCACTTTTCTAATGTGATTCATATCGTGTCGTTGGGTTTAGGGGAAGGGGGGAAGGGCGGAGTTGCAGTTGTTATTATACTTGTTGAGGTAGGAGTGATGATGGAGGGAGGCGAGTGGAATATGTATGTTCGCCTCCTCCGCCTGGAGGATCCTATCTGGTAGTAATAGTATTGATAGAGTATCATGGTTTGGCAAGCCATGGGATATGCAAATGTAAATGCTTTTTGACGGAACAAGTACCCGAGAAATCTGCATAGAATCACGATGGTTATTAGACTGCGACCCCGCTGTTAACGTGCTCCCGGAGTCCCCCCTGAAATCACTCTAGATGTGGTTGTGTTAAGAGGAGATATATGGCGCTTTATAGCTGAATATAGCATTGTAAGGAACAGCTCAACTCCCTGTTTGGCCTCCTCAGCCGAGCTCAGGAGTTCCCTCACCAACTGTGGAGGTTCACTCATGACTTGCCGTAGAATTTCCCAAAGTTTTCCCGAAATTTCCGTATAGGCATAACATATGTAGCTGAGCATGTGCATATTTCCCAGCATTGGTTTAGTTTCTCTGTGTTCTTCCTTTCCTCTCTGTGGGTGAGCTGATGTCGGCTAATGTGCAAGCCCGTGATATTATGGAGTGCCCCGAATGCAAGGGGAAGACTCAGATAGTTGTGGACTATGCACAAGGTAGTGTTGGTAGTGATGATGTTGACGATGTATTGAAGGAAGAGCAGGTTCGGTCATTTGCCGTAATTGTGGGTTGATATTGGAAATGTCCTGTATTGATGACTCCCAAGAATGGCGGACATTTTCGGACAGCAGTGGCCCGGACAGGAACCGCGTGGGTGGCACTACCAACAACATGCTCCACTCTGGAGGCCTCGGGACTAGTGTCGGTGAGTGGGGGTTGATACACACATGTGTTGGTGACAATATGAGATTTGCGGTTGGCTTCTGTACACTTCTACCCGAATTCATGCTCAGCTGAGGGCAGGGAACATATATTCCGACACCGTTAACTCGTTTTTTGTGGTCAGGATTTGGTAATACTAGATTAGCCCGTACCCACATGATAGCCGTTAATAGTGACAATGTGGACCGCACGCTGAATAAAGGGCATAAGATACTTAGGGATATCATGGATGCTCTGGCCTTACCAGACAATATATACACAAGATGCTGCCAGGTGAAGGCGGAGCGAAGCTAGTGAGGTTATGGAGGGGTGTGGTAGTAGATACTAAAGCAAATGGACGACAATGGACTGCTGAAGGGGAAGACGAATTATCCGTGGCTGTTGGCAGTAACGTATATGGCATGTAGGCAGGAGGGAGCGGGGAGGAGTATCAAGGAGATACGTGCTGCACAACCAACTGTCAAGGTAGGCTAGCTGCTGGGCTTGATCGGGCAATGACTACGGAGATGTTATACGGGTCTACATTCCGTATACTCGGTGATTATACTTTATATGAGAGTGTGAACGTGAAAGTGTGGGCTATTGAGTTCGGGTGAGAGTCGCTGAGCTTGTCGCATTAGCAAATTCGGGAAAATGGGGAGGTCGATGCGTGATGGCATTTGTTGTCATTGTCGGCCTATACAGATTAGGCTACATTATGACTTTTGGTGCACCTCGCGATCCGTGAGATCCCAGTTGTGTTATGGGGGTTTCATTGACAGGATAAGGAGGTAGCAAAGAACTTCTGGCGTTTAGAGAAGATGCTCCAGAAGGCGTCAGTACAGGAAGCTCGTACAGGAGTAGGGGGAGGAGCGGTATTAGGAGCTAAAGTGGCGGGGTTGGGAGCAGTGGCTGGGGATACGTTCATGCCACGTTATTGCAATAGACTGGGTATACCTGAATGTGAAAAGGCAGCTGACCATGTAGCTATGCAAGCGGGTAATTGCTACTGTATTGTTGGTCTATTTGTGATCTACATCTACACAGGTCGGTACGGTCTCATTGGTTCTCGCAATCCTTCTGCTGTAGCCGCTGGGGCTTTGCTAGCTGTTGCTTATGCCATGAATGTCGACAAGAAGCCATCGTTAGACTCGGTAGGAGGGCTCGGGTTAGTAGTATTGGAAAGGGTTGTTCTTGTTGTTCGTAGTTGGCAGCGGTGTCGCAGTGCAGTGTGAATATGATACGGCAGAGTTACCTCACGTTACGGCCGCATCTTAATCGTCTATTACCTGTGGGCTTCGTGGTGAAGATAGCTGGAGGGTTGGCGGGGATGCCGGCCTAGACGTATATATACCATCACTGACTTCCATCATTACTCACTTGAGACGTTCACTTACAATTGGTACATTGTTTTCATGCTTGTTGGAGGTCCTGGGTTGGGAGGTTCTGAGAGGGCAGGGATAGTCTTAAGGGCTGCCAATGTCACCACCGTCATTGCGTAAAACGCGTCGTCGGGGAAAGCAGCGAGAGGGAGTTGCAGAGGAGATGGAAACGATGGGAAGAAGGGCATTACCTGTAGGGAGTTGGATTTGTCACGCGCCACGAAATTCGGCTCGTCGAGGTGGTATCAAAACTTCCCGTTTGCAGGTGGTCGGGGCTCCCTATAAGCCGCGACATGGGGAGAAGTCGTGTTTTGAGGAGATGCCACTGGATGCGAACGATTACCTTAAACGAGTCATTCACCAGCGGTCTTTGGGGCCGCAGGCGACTTCTATAGTGCTATCATCAGAACAGGAAGAAGACGAAGATGATGATGATGGAGGCAATGCTTATTGAATTCTGCTGTTGCATGTTACAGTTTGTTATCACCGTCGTATAGGTCTCAATGCCAAATTGGCATTGCCAATATGGGGTGATGGACAGTGTGTTTTTCAGGTGGCTCGATTTCGTCATTTGCCTCATTTGATTGCATCGAGACTCCCATAGTGCATGCGAATTATCGCAGTGGCGTTAGGGACTCGGAGGAAGTAGAGGTATGGCTGAGAGAGTTTAGAGAACTTAGGGAAAGGCTGGAAGGATTTCCAGATGACCAGGAACAGGTGAGGATAATTTTGTGGCGCGCGACACAATTCCGACCTGTACAGTGTTTAGGTGATATTCAGCGTCCCTATTACGACTGCTCACCGCGCCTGTAGTGATTCCTGTGGCTCTGTATCTCCTAGGAGATGGAGTACCGCTGATTTCGTCGAGATGGGCCTCCCTACTGAGGACGTCGTCGCCGAGATTGACTCCTCAGCTGCAGTAGTGGCATTAGAAACAGTCGCGGAGGGCATCTCGATGACAGCTGGACAGGTGGGGGAGAGGGGGGGGGGTTTGTAGTGATGATGAATGGTAGGACCTGCTGGGTCTGAGTTAATTGCCACAACGCAACAACCTTGAGGAAGGTTGGAAAGAGCGAAGGAGAGCGAACGAAGGGAGGAAGGCAAGACGGAAAAGGTGTCACGTCACCGCGGACGTCACGTCACGTGGATTCACGTGTCTCGCAGACGTGCGCTACTTCTCATGACGAGCGCGATATGATCTCGTGAGTTGTTGGCGTACCACTCACCCTTCCTCCTTCGAAGAAAAAAAACAGAGAAAAGTAAGCGAAATGAATGTACAGGGAAGATGGAAAAAAACGGAATCCTCAAGGGTCTCCGAAACGCGAATCAGCTAATGGTTTGAGGTCCTTGAGGTCGAATTTACCAGGCATACCAACGAGGCTGTAAGTCTTCTTCCCTAGACGGTCAGCTATGGTTGCCGGTACCCAGCGTCGCGAGAGCTTGTTCGTCGGTCTCATGACTCGCAAGAGCACAGGACTATCAACCAGGAAACCAGGACCCCAGGTCTCTCGCGGGTCTTTACACAGGAGATCATACTCCGGACGCGTTTGAACTGGACGAAAACGGTCGCAGTTGGCCGGAAAAGTGAAAACCTTATCATGCGCACTCTTACCACCTCGGAGAGGGGTAGTGTTGTACATGCGCAAAAACTCAGCAACAGTGCGATGGAAGACGCCATAGGCTATTTGGTCGCAGCGAACGTGCGAACGCAAATACTCTTCCATCGTGCGGTGAAGACGTTCGATACGACCGTTGCTGAGAGACGTGTTCTTTGCCGTAATTTGCGGAAGAATATCAAACCCCATCAAGAAATCCGTGACCTGCCCTGACACTAGATTCGAACCCCCGTCGGTACACAGCACCAAGGGGTGTGTGTGGAAGGTTGCAAAAATGTGAGACAGGAGCTCGATCACGTCCTTGCCAACGGGTGTTGATCTGACAGGCTTACCAAGGGCATAACC